CATCTACTGATGGACACTTAGGTTGCTTCCATTTCTTGGCTATTGTAAATAGTGCTGCAATAAACATAGAGGTGCATATGTCTTTTTGAAACTGGGATCCTGCATTCTTAAGGTGAATTCCTGGGTTAAATGATATTTCTATTTTTAGTTTTTTGAGGAACCTCCATACTGCTTTCCACATAGTTGAACTAGTTTACATTCCCACCAGCAGTGTAGGAGGGTACTCCTTTCTCTGCATCCTCACCAGCATTTGTTGTTCCTAGTCTTTTCTATGTTGGCCATCCTAAACTGCTGTGAGATGATATCTCATTGTGATTTTAATATGCATTTCCCTGATAATTAGCGATATTGTGCATCTTTTCATGTGCCTGTTGGCCATCTGAATTTCTTCTTTGGACCATTCTTTTAACCATTTTTAAACATATAGGTCAGTAATGTTAAGTGTATCCCCATAATTGTATAACAGATCTCTCAAAGTTTTTCATTTTGTGAAACTGAAACTCTGTACCTATTAAACAACAATGTCCCATTTCCCTCTCTCTCCAGCCCCTCGCAGCTACCATTCTACTTTCTGTTTTCATGAATTTGACCTCTTTAGATACCTCGTGTAAGTGTCATCATACAGTATTTCTCTTTTTTGTTACTGACATTTCATTTAGTATGTTTTCAAGGTCCATCTGTGTTGTGACATATGATAGGATTTCCTTCTCTTTAAAGGCTGCATAATACTCCTTGTATACATATGGTACTTTTTGTTTATCCACTCACCCATCCGTGGACATCTGGGTTGCTTCCATTTCTTGGTTCTTGTTAATAGTGCTGCAGTGAACATGGGTGTGCAAATAACTTGTTGAGTTATTGAGAATTATTTCTACTCTAAGTTCTTTTGGATATATACCCAGAGGTGGAATTGCTGGATCATATGGTAGTTCTATTTAATTACTTTTTTTAAATTAAGGTATCATTGATATGTAATCTTATGAAGGTTTCACATGAGCAGCGTTGTGGTTACTACATTCACCCATATTATCAAGTCCCCCCTACATACCCCATTGTAGTCACTGTCCATCAGCATAGTAAGATGCTGTAGAGTCACTACTTGTCTTCTCTGTGCTATACTGCCTTCCCTGTGATCCCCCCTACATTATGTGTGCTGATCATAATACCCCTTAATCCCCTTCTCCCTCCCTCCCACTGCCTTCTCTCCCTCCATCCACCTTTCCCACCCCTTTTCCCTTTGGTAACCACTAGTCTCTTCCTGGAGTCTGTGAGTCTGCTGCTGTTTTGTTTCTTCCATTTTTGGTTTGTTGTTGTACTCCACAAATGAGTGAAATCATTTGGTACTTGTCTTTCTCTGCCTGGCTTATTTCACTGAGCATAATAACCTCTAGCTACATCCATGTTATTGCAAATGGTAGGATTTGTTTTCTTCTTATGGCTGAATAATACCCCTTGTGTATATGTACCACATCTTCTTTGTCCATTCATCTACTGATGGATACTTCCATGTCTTGTCTGTTGTAAATAGTGCTGTATTTATTTACTTTTTGAGAAACCCCCATTCTGTTTTCCTCAGGGGCTGCATAATTTTACAGTCACACTAACAATAACGAGGGTTTCCAGTTTCTCCACATTCTTGGCAACACTTATTTTTTTTTTTGGTATCAGCCATCCTGACAGGTGTGAGATGATATCTCATTGTAGTTTTGATTTATATTTCTCTAATGGTGGGTGAGTGATGTTAATATCTTTTCATATGCTAAATATCCTTTCATATCTTTCATATCCATTTGTATATCTTTAGAGAAATATCAAAGTCCTTTTCCCATTTTTAAATAGTGTTACTTATTTTTTTTGTTATTAAGTTATAGAAATTCTTTATATATTCTGGAAATTAACTCCTTATCAGATATATGATTGCAAATGTTTGTTTCCATCCCATAGGTTGCCTTTTCACTCTCTTGATTATTTCCTTTGATGTACAGAAGGGTTTAAGTTTGAGGTAGTCCATTTGTCTACTTTTTTTTTTTCCTTTTGGTGTCATATCTCAGAAATCATTGTCAAGAGTGATGTCATGAAGCTTTCCTATGTTTTCTTCTAGGAGTTTTAAGTCTTATATTTAGGTCTTTAATCCACTTTAATTTTTGTATATGGTATAAGGGTAAGTGACAAACTTCATTCTTTTGCTTGTGGACATCCAGTTTTTCCCAGCAGCGTTTGTTGAAAAGACTGTCCTTCCCCACTGAATGATCTTGGCACCCTTGTCAAAAATCATTTGGCCATATCTGACAGAATTATTTCAGGGCTTTCTATTCTAGTCCATTAGTCTTAATGTCTGTCTTTATGCCAATACTACACTATTTTAATTACTGTAGCTTTATAATATGTTTTGAAATTAGGAAGTGCAAGGCCTCCAACTTTGTTCTTTGTTAAGATTGTTTTGGCTATTGGAGGTCTTTTCCTGAAATTGAAAAAAAAACAACCCCCCCCCCATATATATATATATAGTGATATTTATCATTTTAATGATTCATAAGTGTACTGGTCAGTGGCATTAAATATGTTTGCAGTGTTGTACAGCCATCACCACTGCCTATACCCAGAATTTTTCATCAGTCCCTACAAAAACTTGCTATCTGTTAAACAATAACTCTCCCTTTCTTTTTACCCCTTAGTTCCTGGTAAAACCTCTATTCTACTTTTTGTCTCAATTTCTCATCCCTTTTTAACCCATGTTCCCATTCCCATAAATATAAAAACTTAATGTCTTTTGTTGTGATTTGAAATGAGAAATGTGGTAATAGGTTTTACAACTGTACATGTTCATCCTCTTCCTATTCCCCCATCCCGAGAGTCACTGAGCTGCCCACTGTGGCTCAGGGTCCTAGGAACCAGCAGTTTATGTTGCATGGCTAGCACCAGGGGTGTGGTCTGTGACTATGGACTTTATTTAGAACAGAATAAATTGAAGATGAAGTCTGATTCATTAGTTTCCTTAGTTTTAGGCTCTAGCTCTCAGAGGTAACTAGTCCAAGACTGACCATCTTGAATTTTCTTTACTATTTAATAAGCAGCATCAAATTATTATAAATATCCAGATAGAATCATTTTCACTTTCTCAATAAATCCATCCATTATTAATTGCTGGTTTTCCCACATTTCAAAGTTTAATTAATACAATGTGGTATTATATCTTTTGTTCCCGTTTTAGAAAAAATGCTTGACTGAACGGTTTCTTATGTAGAAGTGGCTGGGTTTTTTGTGATTTGTTTTCTAGCTTTATTGAATCCAAATTCTTCTTTGAAGTATTGAAATAAGTATTCAAAGGAGTATCTGCTTTTGGTTTTGGGAGGTTATGTTGTTTTCCAGATTGGGTTCTTTGTCTGCTGCGTGGTAATTTCTCCTCTTTCCTCTCTCTCTTGTTATGGGGAATTGATAGTTGCTTTGTCACTTTTATGTATTGTCATGCTTTACATGGAAATCTCCATTTATACCTTTTGTTTGTAGTTACAGAGTATGGATGAAATATCCTTGAGGTGTTTTCCACTTTATTTGGGACCTATCCTACCCAACCTTGCTCATCAGCTATGGTTAGTTGTTGACTGTTGCTTTCATCCTCTTTTCTTTAAACTGAGGACATGAGGGTAGAGAAAGCTTGCTATTGAAGAGCTTAATCCTTTTTGGTAGATCTGAATTCTGTTCTGTCTTCTAAAATCTCATAAAATGTTATGTGTTGTAACCACTCTGTCCAGTGGTAAATTCCGTGTGTTTCCAAAGACTTTGGCTGATTTTTCCACTTTGGGTCAATGCTCTGGTGGATGGGAGCCCCATAGGTTCAGCCTGCCTTTACTCAGGTCCCAAGGTGGTTTGTAAAAGAACTCACTTGCTTTTTTTTTTTTTTTTTTAAGTATAATGGATGTACATTATATTAGTTCCATGTGTATGATATAATGATTTGATAGTTTTATAAACAGAAAATTGATCACCACAGTAAGTCCAGTTAACATTCATCACCATACAGAATTTTTTTCTTGTAATGAGAACTTTCAAGGTCCACTTTCTGCTACATCTACTTCAGATAAGTAATACAGTATTAACTGTGGTCACCATGCTGTACATTACATCCCTATGAGTTACTCATTTTATAGCTGGAAATTTGTCTCTTTTCACCCCATTCACATATTTCTCTCATCCCCTGTATCCACCTTAGGCAATCACCAGTCTGTTCCCTAATATCCATGAAGGCTCTTGCTCTTGATGTGTTTTTGTTTTTGTTTTTTAATTTTCCCAGGGCTATCTATCCATTCCTTTATTCTCCTCTTTCCACATTGGAAAATATTCCATAAAGATTACTCTCATTTCCTCCTTGGATTTGCATTTTGTAAAATGTCTTTCCTAGCAGGTGTCTGGGTTTAAGAGTTCTGTGATTCTCTTTATGCTTTCTTTACCCAGAAACCTTGTATATGTATTTTTTAAAGTTTAGTAATGTGGAAGAAATAGCATTTGTATCTTTATAATTTATAGGAGCTCCCTGCAGTATCAACTAATCCATATTTTAATTTTTTTATTTTCCTTATTAAAGTTCCTTTGTGTTCTCCCTACTCACTCTCACCCCACCAAGGGGAGGTTAGATACAGTAAATTCTAGAGAAATAGAAAACACCCTTGATTTGGACAGGAAGAGCAGATGGTAAGAAAGATCTTAGGGAGTGATAAGAGGTAATATTTTAGTTTATAAGCGGGGGTGGGGGGTATTTGAAATAGATACAAACGATGAGAAGACTAAAAAAACATGCTTTCTGAACTAAGAAGAGGGTTTGATGCTAAGATTAAACTTTCTTAAGGAGCAAAATACTTTTTACAGCTACAGTCTTTCTAGAGTACTTTTAATAGCTAATTTTCTTAGAAAAAATACCAAATCAAACCTGTGGATCTCTCTCTGAAATTTCATACAGATAGCTGTTATTGTAGTAGTTATATGTGTGTTTTTTCCCCCTTTAGAATTTCTGTGGAAAAAAAAGACATGAGTGCCTGCAATGAGATTTCCTGACAAGAAGTTGATACAAGAGAAGGAAAGGAGATCAACAGTAGCAAACTGGTTTCAGATAACCAGGATTTTGTACTTATCATCTCCAACTACAGACGTCATTGCCTACTTTTAAGTCAGAGATAACTACAGTCAGAACACAGACAAGGCGAAAGGATACATTTCTTCTGCATTTTTTGAGATTAGAGAAACTGCAATGTCTAGGAAACAAAGCCAGAAGGGTAAGATTACAAGTGGGCATGAATTGTTAAAAGCATAGCTGTGAAGTGATAATCACCGTGAATATCTATATATAGTTTTAAAGGTTTTCTTGATGTGTTTGAATGGCTATACTTTCCCTCACCCATGCAGTATCATTGATAGGCACAACTTTTTGTCGTTACTGCAGTTAATTTTAGAGAGTGCAGAATGTTCACAAGTTTATTTGTTGTCTCTTTTACTATCTAAGTATTTGTGGATATTAGATTTTAACTTCATGTGTTTGGGAATCAATTCATGTAACAACTCCTTTTCTACTCTTATAAACCTATTAAATTAGAATATGCTTTCAGGAAAGCCAAATGCATCTTGAAAGTACACTTGAAGTGAACATATGTTGGAGGAGTGGTGGGAGATCACTTACTACAGGATATCCTATATCCTGTGAGTTAATGTTTCATGGGAGACAGGAAATGAAGCAGGGGTTAAATGCTTCCAATTTTTTATTAGTTCTTTAACTTTCCTGCCGGGATTGCTCTAGCTTCTTGGCTAAAGTCAAATATGAGGTACAAAAAGCCAAGAATTACTGAGAATAGTTATAAGGAGGGAAAGGACAACAAAGACTCTTTAAAATCACTTTTTCAACTTTCCTGGAATAACTGTAAAAATGTAAAGGGACAAACTTAATAGTAGCATGAGAGCTATTATATAAAATGGGAATATATTTGTTAAAAGAATGACAGTAGCTAGAGAAGGAAATTCTGGCTTTTTTTTCTTCACTCAGTTGAATGTTCAATTTAAGGTTTAATGTTCTTTAATAATTCACAGCACCAGCATCGAAAAGACTAAGAACAACAAATGCTGGCAAGGATGTGGAGAAAGGGAACCCTCCTACACTGCTGGTGGGAATGTAAACTAGTTCAACCATTGTGGAAAGCAATATGGAGGTTCCTCAAAAAACTAAAAATAGAAATACCATTTGACCCGGGAATTCCGCTCCTAGGAATTTACCCAAAGAGTACAAGTTCTCAGATTTAAAAAGATGTATGCACCCCTATATTTATCACAGCACTATTTACAATAGCCAGGACATGGAAGCAACCTAACTGTCCATCAGTAGATGAATGGATAAAGAATATGTGGTACATATATACAATGGAGTATTATTCAGCCATAAGAAGAAAACAAATGCTACCATTTGCAACAACATAGATGGAGCTGGAGGGTATTATGCTCAGTGAAATAAGCCCAGCTGAGAAAGACAAGTGCCAAATGATTTCACTCATCTGTGGAGTATAAGAACAAAGCAAAAACTGAAGGAACAAAACAGCAGCAGTCTCACAGAACCCAAAAATGGACTAGCAGCTACCAAAGGGAAAGGGGTTGGGGAGAGTGGGTGGGAAGGGAGGGATAAGGGGATTAATGAGTATTATGATTAGCACACATAATATAGAGGGGGCACAGGGAAGGAATTATAGCACAGAGAAGACAAGTAATGACTCTATAGCATCTTACTATGCTGATGGACAGTAACTGTAATGAGTTATGTAGTGGGGGCTTGATAACGGGGAATGTAGTAACCACTGTTTTTGCTCATGTGAAACCTGAGCATAAGATTGTATATCAATGATACCTTAATAAAAAAAATGTCCAATTCCAAAGAAAACATACAAATGTCCAACAGGTATGTGCCAAAGTGTTCAACATCACCAATCATCAGGGAAATGCAACTAAAAACCACAATGAAGTATCACCTCACACCTGTTAGAAAGGATATTATCAAAAGACAAAAATTAACAAGTGTTGGTAAGTATGTGGAGAAGGGATCCTCATATACTGTTGGTGGGAATGTAAATTGGTACAGTCACTATGGAAAACAGTATGGAGATTCCTCAAAAAATTAAAAATAGAAATACCATAGGATCCAGCAATTCCACTTCTGAGTATTTATCCAAAGAAAATGAAAACACTAATTCAAAAAGGTATCTGCACCTCCATGTTCATTGAAGTATTGTTTAGTAGCCAAGATACAGAAACAGCCTAAGTGTCTATCAGTAGATGAGTGGATAAAGAAAAATATGGTATATACATGCAATGGAATATTATTCAGCCACAGAAAATGAGGAAATGCTACCATGTGCAACAACTTGGATGGACCTCAGAGACATTATGCTAAGTGAAATAAGTCAGACAAATACCATATGATCTTACTTACCTAAACTGAGGGATCTAAAGTACAGAATCTAAACAAAACAAAAATCAAGCTCATAGATACAGAGAACAGATTGGTGGTTACCAGAGGTAGGGATTAGGGTGTGGGTAAAAGGGGTCAAAAGGGGTCAAAAGGTACAAATTTATGGTTATAAAATAAGTCATGGGGATGTAATGTACAACATGGCAACTGTAATTTATAATATGTTGCATATTTGAAAGTTGCTAAGATAGTAGTCTTATAGTTCTTAAAAGAAAAAAATATTTTGTAACAATGATAGTGACATGTTAACTAGACTTATTGTGGTGATCATTTTGCAGTTTATACAAATACCAAATCATTATGTTTTACACGTGAAACTAATGTAATGTTATATATATGTCAACTATACCTCAATCAAGAAAAAAAAAGCTTGTTCAGTGTTGTTTAGATATATGGGATAATCAGACTCTGATATTTCTGTCATCTTCAGGGCCTAAAACAACTTTTGCCTGATTTAAGCCAGCAAAAACAGTAAAGCCTACAATATTTACAAATATCTCAGTGATACTGTAAATAACATACTTTTTTCAAAATGTTCCTAAATATGTGCTATTTGAAATAATTCCAAGAAACTTCAAAGATGGTTCCTAATAGAGTGAAATAAATGATAAGAAGAAAGCTCAATTTCAAGGGTTCCTTGTATACTTTATGAATCTTGCCTGAGAATAATATCTAACTACAGTTTTTTTTCTTTGAAAATAGATTTCTGATAGAGTATACACGTTCTTCTATCATAGGTAGATATCACAAAATGAGATCTGCCTTATTTCCTATCAATGGAATTATGTAAATCTTAGGCTTTCTTTGCATGAAAAAATAAGAAAATTGTTAAAGCTCTAAATACTGTTGATGGGAATTAAAAATAACTTTCTCTATAATGCTGAGAGGCACTTAAGCTCCAGTTTACTGAAGCAAGGTTTTGAATTTACTAAAGTTGTTGATTTGAGCCAAAAGAGGTGGTAAATAGACAAGATGTTAAATTATTGCTTCTTTTTGGAAAACTCGTTATTTAGAACCTAAATACAAAATTAGCATTCGTGCCCTGGGAGGCTGACCTGTATGGACTGCCTCAGTGGCTCTCTTGCCCGCAGGCTTCTGGTTGGGTTTGGCCATTGGGCAACAGAGGCAGGAGTTCAGAAGTGGGGAGGAGAGTGAGGTCAGGATATTAATTCCTGCAGGCTTTCCCTGAGGGGTCTATTGGGTTTACAGTGTCCTCTGACCAAAGGTCATAGTTATGGAACTCTGGCCCTCTCCACACCAGGTGAGCCAAAGATGAAAGAGCCTTCTGTCTCTGGGTTTCAGTAATTCCTCTCTCCTAACACCTTTTTAAAACCTCAGGTAGGCAAGGTACATTGTTCTTATTAGCCCAGGGGTACTACATTTTATCTTGTGGTTTTCCTGCTCTCTAATAGCATCAGAAATAATTCTTTATTCAGCGCTCCTCAGATTCCCTGATTTTTGAGTTTATATTTGTTTCCTGCTGGGATCCTGACTAAAATAGCTGCTTTATGTATTTTTAATGCTCTTAACTGGTATACCAGATAAACCCTATTAATACTTATGTTAAATTTCAGGGGTGAGGGTGGCAATAACTGAAGGTGTTTGCAGAACTACCCTTTGTTTTCCTGCACTTTAATGTGTTGTTAAAGGAAAAAAATAAACTATTAGATGATGTATAAGAAATACTAATACGTCATTTAAATATAGACACCTAAATGCTGTTTTACTTTAGTGTCACCTCTTTTGGCTAAATGAGATTGGTCATTTGATTCTCTAATAAGACTATTGATGTCCTTTGTATCATCTCACTGCTCACGAATATGTCTTTGGGGAAGAGTACTTACAACATTCATGTTATATTTTTGGCTAACCTATAGCAATTCTGAGAAGGTTGCTGGATAGTATTTTGGCTGTATAAAATGTTCATCTTTATATCCTGTGTCTCTTTTCAATGAATAAAGATAATTGGGAGTTAACTGTAATATTTAGTCATCTGGACAATTTAGGCTTGAATACTGAGTTTGTGTAAATGCAGCCTGATTTGTCATTTGGTTAACAGTCTTAAACTGCCAATATTACAGAGGTTAAATCTAAATTCATTCATGGTTCATTCGTAATTGGCAGGCATAGTTTCTCTTGGAATGACACGGGCTCCATTCATATCCTTTTTTCCACTTTTTGTTCCAAAGTGTTACTCTGACTTATAAATTATCAGTCCTCCATAGCAACCATGGTATTTGAAACTCAGAGGAATTTGAAACACAGAATAAAGATAGAACTGTAAAAGAGGCTTTAATTAAAACACATCTGTAATCATAGCAAAAGAATTTGGAAAGTGTACAAGAATAATACTATATCTTTTTGACCCCTATGTTACTCTCTTTGGGCTGCCACGATAAATACTACAGACTAGGTGACTTCTAAACACCAGAAATTTATTTCTCATAGTCTGGAGGCTGGAAGTCTGAGAACAGAGTGCCAGCATGGTAGGGTGAAGATCCTCTTCTGGGTCACAGACTTCTTATTGTGTCCTTACATGGTGGCAAAGGCTAGGGAGCTCTGTGGGTTCCCTTTTATAAGAATACTAATCCCATCATGAGGGGCCCACTCTCATGACCTGTTTACCTCTCAAAGCTCCCATCTATTAGCACCATCACTTTAGGATTTCAGTATATGAATCTGGGAGGGATATAAACATTCAGATCACAGCAACCACTTTTCTCAAAATGTCCCCTTTTACTTACTTTGTTGAAGTGCTAACCCCCAAGCTACTCCCAAAAGTGGTGCATGGATCAGCCATGTTGATACTACCTAGGAGTAAAAAAGACCACAGGCCAGACTACTGAATCAGAACCTGTGTTCTAAGCTAAGATTCCCCAGGTTGGTAAGTTATACACATCAGTATTTGAGGAGCACTCAATACTAACCATTTCCTGAGATTGCCTCTTGTTAGTTTAAAACAAAGTTGTCAAGTGTTAATGCTGAGGTAATTTATTGATCATATAGTCTCAGGTAAAAAAACTGATTAAATTTGCTGATAGTCTTTTCTTCATAAGTGCAAAGGAGCCAAACTCTTTTCAGCAATCAGTCACATTGAACTAAGTTTTCCTGTATTGTGCTGGTAATATAAACTCTGGTACACTGATTGCTTTATCAGGCGTTATGTTGGGAATACAAACATGAATGTATTCATGGAGTTCATAGTCTAAGAACATGATGTGTGTGGTACAGTCTAGAAGGAACTTACTTTCATGTATTGTTAATTATTAATGCTACAGAAGCTGTCATCCTCACCCATTTTTTCAGATTCATTAGTGTTAAATTTTTCTTTAGGATACTGTTTCCTTGCAGCATTTTTAGAGAGCCTTTTAAATTAAGATGGAGTAGTTAAGAAAGACATCAAGGATTATGGGACAGTCTGATATAGCTTATGTATTTAGTGTTCTCAAACTGTGACAGTTTCTATTAAAATCAAACTTTATTTTATGATTTAATTCAAATTATTAGCCATGTCTATAATAGAATTTGTAAAATAGCAACTAAGTTGTTAACTGTCTATGGGAGGAAAGCAACTGGTACTAGCTCTTCTTTTTGGGGGATGAATTACATGTTACTTTTGGATCATGTTGAATATATTTTTTCCTTCTCATTTTTTTCAGATTCATCAGGATTTATTTTTGATTTACAGTCCAATACGGTACTGGCCCAGGGAGGAGCTTTTGAGAACATGAAAGAAAAGGTATCACTAGTTACTGTGGGTTATAAACTTGAATGTCATGGAAAATTTAGTTATTAATACAGTCATTGTCTATACAAACTCATTAAGAAAGTGAAATTTTAAGAACAAACCGAATGCCACTGTGTATCAGAATGTGACTATCATGAAGGTTTTGAGGAATAAGAACTTACTAAGTGTAAGCATGATTTTCCTTGCATATCTCCATATACATTTCCTAAATTTTCTTAAAGACATTTTAATAGTAATTAATATTATAACAATATTTATATGGTTAAGTGTCTATTTCATTTGGGCAACATTCTTTAAGGAACAGTCTGAGTAGGATCTTTCCATTTACTTGAATAGGAATCTTAAGTCCAAGAGACTTCAGAGCAAGAAGTAAAATAGATTTTCCAAATAATACTGTTTTGGAAGAAAACCAGATGTTTTTAGTAATATAACCCTTAATGAGCAATACTGAGAAAAACATAGAACAAAAGCTTTATGTGCTTTTTCTGTCTTACTAAAAAAGTATGTTGTTGATTATGGAGTCATAAATAAATATTGGTTCGGTAATATAAACACATATACATTTTAAGTTATCAGAATCTTACCTTTATCATTGAATCTAAGTTTTGCCTAACGTCTATTTTCTAGTAATCAGTGCTAAGTTTTTTGCTCATCTGAAAAGTATATATATTATAAATTATTCCTCTTTGGATTATAGATTATCTATCTTTCCACCTGTATGGTTTTAAACCTTATCATTGTTCACTTAAGCCTGAAAAAAATGCATAGAATGATATAAAAGCAAGTATACTAAAAAGAACGTAGGTTCTAATAAAGACTCTGCTTATTACTTGAACAAGATGCTGTAGTTCTCTTCATCTACAAAGGGACTTCCTATCTAGCTGACTAGATAACTAAAAAACACACCTAACTCTCAGATCTTTGTTTCTAACAACCACTCCCTTGATCTTGGAGAAACAGCTAATTTTACATTATGTGATAAGATAAGAAATAAAAATTGTAAAGATTTGGGAAGGAAAAAAACTGCTTTTATTTGTAGATGCTGCAATATCTACTTAGAAAAACCACAAAAGCAACAAATTACTAAGAATAATAAGCATTCATCAAGGTTGCTGGATATAAAATTGATATACAAAAATGAAAACAATATATAATTGTTACAAATCTATGTATTTTTAATCTCAAAAATATAAAATAACTTACGAATAAATCTGACAAAATTGACATATCTATTTTAAAGAGCAATTTAGCATTATTTAATGAATTTGTAAATGCCCTATTATTCAAGAATTCTGCTAGTGGTTATTTATATACAATAGAGACATTCTTTCACTATTCACAGAAGGCCTATTTTTTTTTTAATTGCATAAAATGTGCCAAACATTGTTTTAGGCATTGAGGATTCAGCAGCAAAAAAGTGTAGGAATGTTCATTATGTCATTTTTTTGTAATAGCCAAACATTGAAAACAATGCAAGTGTCCATAAACAGAAGAATGAATGAATTGACTATATTCTTATAATGGAAGTACTATGTAGAAGTTAAAATAAATGAGTTAAAGATGCATTTGTCAACATGAAAAAAAATCCAAAAAACGTTAGGTGAATAAAGCAAATCGAGTACAGACATATACCATATAAAGTTATGTTATATATATATATTACCTTTAGTATATAAGTATATATTACCTTTGGGTATATGCGTATATCATAAAAGTACAAAAACATGTATCAAAACACCAAATTCAAGGCAGAAATCTCTGGAGAGGGGGAAATGAGTTTTATGAGGGACTTCATGGGGGCTTCAATTGATTTATTTTATTAAACTGGCTGTCACATAATGAGTGTTCATTATGTTTTCTATGCTTGAAATAGTTTATACTAATTAGAATTACCTTTATAGTGTTATACAATTAAATGATATGAAGTAAACGTATTTTGAAAATATACAAAATCTAAGTTGTTACTGTTAGTGGTTCATTAAACTTTATACCTTTCTCTATAGTATGCTAAAAATGAGGAAACACTGATGCTAAATTAATACCTGATACCTAAATTAAGTTACCCTTCCTTGAAATAAAATCTAATACATTCCTTTTATTTCTAGAAATGTTTTTCTGAATTTGAAATTAATTTTTTATGTGCTGTTATCACTCATCTATTAATCATTCCCAATGAGATGGTTGTATGTACTCTCACTGGCACTAAAGAGTGATAAATATTATTAAAAATGAAATGTCATTCCTTCCGTTATTCTCTGTAATAGGCCTCACTTGCCAACTAACCTACTGGTATTAGAACTAAATTACCCTATCATCTATTCCAGATAAATGCAGTGCGTGCAGTAGTTCCCAATAAGAGCAACAATGAAATCATCCTGGTTTTGCAGCACTTTGATAATTGTGTGGACAAAACAGTACAGGCATTTATGGAAGGTAATCTTAGATCAATTTTTTTATAAGTTTTAATTTTTTTCAAATAGAAATTGCTTCAAACTTTTATAACATTCATTCAGCCATCTAGTCTTTCTTAGATGATAGAGCAGACCCCATGATAACTAATATACCATGCCATTTTTTAAAGGTATCTCTTAAAGATACCTCTTTCAGCCCTAGAAGTAATTCTTTTACAAGTTATAGGATATCTGGAATAAGAGCTGAGTTACGGAAACTTCATCCTTTTACTCAAAATGTTCTCTAATGGCATTTAAAGAGAAATCATGTGGCCAGTGGTATAAGGGACTCAGTTGGAGTTGAGTTGAATAAGAATTTAAGAAATTCTTAATGACAAAGCAGTGAACCTATGACCCAGCAACTGATTGCAAATTCAAGGACTCAACGTTCTCTTCCAGGCTCCAGTATTTAGTTTGGCTCTAGCAAGTGATCAAATGTATGGGTTTGAGTTTCCCTGTCTAAAATAGAGAAGAATGATGGGCTTAGCCAGGCTTTCAGTTTGAGTTGAGGAGTGTTTTTTTACAAACTTCTTTCCATGTAACTTGATTGAGAAGAACTTTGCCGGAAGCTATTGTATCATTGAACAGTGACATCAGATAAGGTCTCCCTGTTTCTATTTTTATGAATTTTCCAGTATAGAATAAACAGGTTCAAATACTGTAAGGTTTCTCTTCATCATCATCTGTTTTCCTTATGTTAGTATTTGAGTCTAGGGTAGTGTACAGCTCTCTCTAAAATAATGTAGCCAAGATTGTATGTAATCTAGAAAAGAGAGGATAGCATATTTGAGCTAAAACGAGTCATCTTTGTATTCGATCTAAACTATGTAAGTAAAGTAATTTTCAAAATGGTCAGGCTACATTTGTCTCTCCTTGGAAGAACTTACTGAGGAAATGAAAAGGAGAAGGGGGATCTAAATGAGCAGGTGTTCCAAAAGGTAAGTATGGTATCATTACACTGGCTCAGAGATATGAACTTTAAGTTTTCCTAGAGGAGCTTTGGAAATTCTCTTGCAGTTACAAAATGTAGGGACACTAACTCCTGCCTAACCATGCTTGTGGTAGGAGAGAAAATCTGTAATTGGTTTCTCTTACAGGTAGTGCCAGTGAAGTACTCAAAGAATGGACAGTAACAGGCAAGAAAAAGGTAAAAATGAATTCAACTTACAAGCATAGTATCAATATTTTTTTTCTAAGAAACTTTAGGCCTGCAAAAATATTTGTAAGAGAAGATTTACATTTGCATCTAGAGCTCACCTGGTTAAAAAATTTTCTTCTGTGACATTGAAACACAGCTGTGTATGTAGAACACCAGTTTCCTCATGTGATTTAAGGCAGGAAACAGAATGACTCTGCCATGGTACAGCTGCTGAGGGTTTATGAACATTAAGGATGAAATAAGAGAGCATGTCAAGGAAAGCATCTAGTTCAGTGGTTTTCAATGTCATTCATATCATAGATCAGTTAAAATAGTTCAGATTTTTAGGTCAGACAACTGCATTATAGTTCCTGATGATAATGAGCTTTGACTTAAAGCCTAAAGAGGAGCTTTGCTACTATCAGCTGTGCAGAGGGGTCTGATGTTCCAGTTTAGGGAAGTAGAGCACTTAAGTGTGGAGTCTATCAGAGCTGGATTTATATCCTGTTCTACTACTTACTGGTTTTATGACCTGAGACTTTAACCTTTGTGTGCCTTAGTTTGCTCATCTCTAAAATAGGAGAACAATACTAGTTAGTACAAGTATCTAGTACATATTTGTCTAACATACAAGCTCTAATGTCTAACATAGTCTAACATATTAGTTCTCATTCTCTTCTCCTTATCCTCTTAAAACTGAATGCTTTACCAAAAGGATACTAGCTGGTCTCAAAATGCTTCCTATAGCTCTTTAAACCTTGCTCCTTTAGGAAATGCTTGAAGTATGGAATTTTATCAGTTATCTCTATGAAATCTCTTTGGGGGTGTTCTTTTCCTGTATTAGGTTAGTGCTAGAGTTCTGGAATGCTTTTTTTTTTTTTGGAATGCTTTCTTGATGAGTAACTTCAAAGATCTACTCTCTCATCACTTTTCAGATACACATCTCTAGATCTCCTTTTATCTAACAAAACTGAAGGTCTATACTGTTAAAAAGTAACTCTGCATTCATCACTACCACCCAGCCCCTGGCTACCACTCTTCTACTTTCTGCCTCTATTATTTTGACTGCTCTAAAGTACTTCATGTAAGTGGAATCATACAGTATTTGTCCTTTTGTGGCTGGCTTATTTCAGTTAGAATACAGCTCTCAGGTTTCACCCATGTTGTAGCAAAGGTCAGAATCTCCTTCCTTTTAAAGGCTAAAAATATTCCATTTCTATGTATATACCACATTTTGCTTATGTAATCAACCATCAATGGATACTTGGTTTGCTTCCACACTTTAGCTATTGTGAGTAATGCTGCTATGAACATGGGTGTACAGATATGTCACTGAGACCCTGCTTTCAGTTCTTTTGGTGAAGTAGAATTGCTGGGTCATACAGTAATCCTTCTTTTAATTTTCTGAGGAATTGCCATACTGTTTTCCATAACAGTTATGCCATTTTCATGCCCACTAACAGTACACAAGAGTTCCAATTTATCCACATTCTCTCCAGCTCTTGCTGTTTTCTGTTCTTTTGATAGTAACCATCCTAATGACTATGAGATATCTCACTGCAGTCTTGACTTACATTTTCCTAATAATTAATGATGTTGGACATCTTTTCTTGTGTTTGTTGGCAATTTCTATATCATCTTTGGAGAAATGTCATATGTGTTTTTTTTTTTATTTCGTACTGTCAATGTGGTATATTACACTGATCAATTTTCTTAGGTTGAACCATTCTTGCATTCCAGGAATAAATCCCGCTTGGTCATGGTGTATATAATCCTTTTAATGATTGTGCTGAATGTGACTTAAAAATACTTTACGGGGATTTTTTAAATCAATGTTCATAAAGGATATTGGTCTGCAGTTTTCTTAGTGTCTTTGTCAGGTTTAGGTATCAGGGTAATGCTGGCATCATTGAATGAACTAGGAAGTGTTTGTTCCTCTTCAGTTTTTTTGAAATGTTTGAGAAGAATTGGTTTTAGTTCTTCTGTAAGTGTTTGGTAGATATCATCAATGAAGCCATTGATTGAGCCCAAGGCTTTTCTTTTGTTAGATTTTTTTGGGGAGTGGATTTTTGATTACTGATTGAATATCTTTACTGGTTATAGGTCTATTCAGACTTTTTCTTTATGATTTAGTCTTGGTAAGTTTGTGTTTCTAAGAATTTATTCATTTCATCTAGGTTATCCAGTTTGTTGGCATACAATTATTCATAGTACTTTCTTATTATCCTTTTTATTTCTGTATAATCAGTGGTAGTATCCCCACTTTCATTTCTGATTTTAGTAATTTGAGTTTTTTTTCTTTATTTATTCTTCCATCTAGCTAAAGGTTTGTCAGTTTCGTTGATCTTTTCAAAGAGTTTCAATGATTTTCTCTATTGCTTTTCTATTTTCTATTTCATTTTTTCTCTGTTCTGTTCTTTATTTCCTTCCTTCTGCTAGCTTTGGATTTAATTCTTTTTCTAATTTCTTAAGTTGTGAAGATAGGTTGTTAATTTGAGATCTTTCTTGTTTTTTTTAATTATTATTAAGGTGTCATAGATATGCCATCTTATGTTTATGTTGGTTTCAAATATACAACACAGTGGTTCAACAGTTATCCATATTATTAAATCCTCACTTCCTCTAGTGCAGTCACTATCTATCAGCATGTAAGATGTTACAGAATCATTAACTGTATTCTCCATGTTGTACTACCATCCCCATGACCAACTTATATTGTGATTGCAAATTATGTGCCTCTTTATCCCCTTTCCCCTCCACCCCCCACCCCTCTTGCTTGGTAACCGAGAAGTCCCTTCTTGGTGTCTACAAGGCCGCTACTATTTTGTTACTTCTGTTTAGCTTTGTTTTTATACTCCACATATAGATGAAATCATTTGGTACTTGTCTTTCTCTGCCTGGCTTATTTCACTGAGCATAATACCCTCTAGATCCATACATGTTGTTGCATGTGAGAGGATTTCTTTTCTTATGACTGAATAATATTCCATTATATATATGTACCATCTCTTCTTTATCCATTCATCTACTGATGGACACTTAGGTTGCTTCCATATCTTGGCTATCAGAAATAGTGCAGCAATAAACATGGGTGCATATGTCTTTTAAAATCAGGGATTTTGATTTCTTTAGGTAAATTCCCAGGAGTGGAATTACTGAGTCAAATGGTATTTCTGTTTTTAGTTTTTTGAGGAACATCCATATTGCTTTCCACAGCAGTTGCACCAATTTACATTCCCACCAACAATGTTGGAGGGTTCCCATTTCTCCACATCCTTGCCAGCATTTGTTATTTCTTGTTTTTTGAATAGTGGCCATCCTAACTAATGTGAGGTGATATCTCATTGTGGTTTTAATTTGCATTTCCCACATGATTAGCGATGTGGAGCATCTTTTCATGTGCTTGTTGGCCATTTGTATTTATTTGGAGAAGTGTCTGTTCAGGTCCTCTGCCCATTTTTTGATCCGGTTATTTGTTTTTTGGGTGTTGAAGCCTGTGAGTTCTTTATATATTTTGGATGTTAATAACCCCTTATCAGATGAGTCATTTACAAATATATTCTCCTATACTGTAGGATATGTTTTTGTTCTGCTGATGGTGTCCTTTGTTGAACAGAAGGTTTTTAGTTTTATGTAGTCCCACTTGTTCATTTTTTATTTTGTTTCCCTTGCCCAAGGAGATGTGTTCAGAAAAAAGTTGCTCATGCTTATATTCAAGAGATTTTTGCCTATGTTTTCTTCTAATATTTTATGGTTTCATGACTTACATTCAGGTCTTTGATCCATTTTGAGTTTACTTTGGTATATGGAGTTAAACAGTAATCCAGTTGCATTCTCTTACACATAGTTGTCCAGAGATCTTTCTTATTTTTTAATGCAAGCATTTATAGCTATAAATTTTCCTCTTTGCACCACTTTCTCTGTATCCCATAAGTTTTGGTATGGTGTATTTTTATTTTAATTTGTTTCTAAGTATTTCCTAATTCTCATTGTGATTTCTTCTTTGATCCATTCATAGTTTTAAAATGTGTTGTTTAAGTTCCACAATATCATGAATTTTCCTGTTTTCCTTCTGTTACTGATTTCTAACTTTAACCCATTTTGGTCAGAGAATATACTTTGTATGATACCTATCTTTTCAAAATCTGTTGAGACTTAATTTGTGGCCTAACACAAGATCTATCCTAGAAAGTGCTGAGTGTGCTTGAGAAGAACGTATCTGCTATTGTTGCTGGGTAGAGTGTTCTGTATGTCTGTTAGATATAGTTGGTCTATTGTGTAGTTAAATCTTCTATTTCTTTACTTATCTTATGTCTGGTTGTTCTATATATTATTGTGAGTAGGAGATGGAAGTCTCCAAGTATTATTGTAGAACTGTCTATTTCTCTTTTCAGTTCTGTTGGTTTTGCTTCATATATTTTGATGGTCTGTCATTAGGTACATAAATTTTTATAATTGTTATAGTTCTTGCTGTATTGAATCTTTTATTAATATGTAATGTCTTTGTCTCTTATAACCTTTTTAAATTTAAAGTCTATTTTTGTCTGGTATTAGTACAGCCACCTGTGCTCTCTTTTGGTTACTGTTTGCATGGAATATAGTTTTCCATCTTTTCACTTTCAATCTATGTATGACTTTAAGTCTAAAGTAAATCTCTTACAGACAATAGTCTGTAAAATTATGTGTAATGGACCATGTGTGTTTATCCATTCTTCCAATCTCTGTCTTTTCATTGTAGAGTTTAATCCTTTACATTTAAAGTCATTATGATTATAAAGGTCTTCTGTCACTGTGCTATTTGTTTTCTACATGCTTTTATCTATTTTGTCCCTCATTTCCTGCATTACTGTCTTCTTTTGTGTTTAATCTGTTTTATAGTGAAATATTTAAATATGAAAAAGAATATAAATATAAAAAATGTCAAATATATATATAAATGTTTTAAATATAAGAAGTGTTTATGGTGAAGTGTTTAAATTCCTGTCTCATTTCCTTTTACATGTATTCTATAGCTCTTTCTTGTGGCTACCATGGCAATTATCTTCAACATCCTAAAGATGTAGCACTCTAACTTAAATTTATACCAGCTTAACTTCAGTAACATACAGAAACTCTGCTCCTTTACAGCTCCATCCCCACCCTCACCCCTTTTGGCTGTTTATATCACAGAATTACAGTTTTTTATGTTGTGTGCCCAAAAGCATAAACAAATATTTTAAATGCATTAGTCTCTTAAATTATTAGAAAGCAATATCTGGAATTACCAGAGCTGCAATTGATACTAGCTTTTAAGACTAATCATTTTTTTATCATTAAATGTATTAGTTTCTTAAATCATATAGAAACCAAAATGTACAGTTATAAACCATTATTACAATAATACTAGCTTTATAATTGCTCATATACTTACTTTATCAAGATATTTATTTCTCCATATGATTTCAAATTACTGTCTAGTGTCTTTTCATTTCACAGTGTAGGACTTCCTTGAGCATTTCTTGCAGTACAGGTCTGGTGGTCATGAACTCTCTCAATTTTCATCTATCTGGGAATGTCTTTATTTCTCCCTCACTTTTGAAGGACAGTTTTGCCAGTTACAGTATTCTTGGTTGACAGTTTTTTTCTTTTAGTACCTTGAATATATCTGCCTACTGCCTTCTTACCTCCAAAGTTTCTAATGAGAAATCTCCCTTATATGTGAGATGAGTCAATTGTTTCTGGCTGCTTTCAAGATCTCTCTTTGTCTTTGTTTTTCGAAACCTTGATTATAATGTTCCTGTGAGTCTCTTTGAGTTTATCTTAGAGTTCATTAAACTTCTTGGATGTTTATATTCATATCTTTTGTCAAATCTGGGAAGTTGTCAGCTATTTTTTCTTCAAATAGCTTTTTGCCCCTTTTTCTTGCTTTTCTTTTTGGACTTTCACAATGTATGTTTGGGTCAACTTAATGGTGTCCCACAGGTCCCTTAGGCTCTGTTCAGTTTTCTTCAGTCTTTTTTTCTTTCTGTTCCTCAGACTTAATGGTTTCCGTTGTCTTATCTTCAAGTTCACTGATTCTTCTGCCTGCTTAAATATGCCTTTGAATCCCTCTAGTGAATTTTTACGTTTCGGTTATTGTACTTTTCAGCTTGAGAATGTCTTTTTAGGTTTTCTGTATCTTTATAGCAATTTCCACTTTGTTCATATTTCATTTTCTTAACTTTCTCCACATCTTCCTTTAATTCTTTTAACATCTTTAAGACAGTTGTTTTAAAGTCTTTAAAATATCTGCCAACAGGTGTTTTTTGGGGATAGTTTCTGTTGACTTTTTCTTTTGAATGAGTCACACTTTCTTATTTCTTTGTGTCCCTTGTGATTTTTTTTTGTTGAAAATTGTGTATTTGAATCTAATAATGTTGAAATTCTTCCTTAGAGATGCTATTTCTTGTTAATTATTTTTGTATTTTTTTATTGTTGTAAGCTGTCTGTGTTCCAAGAGTCAGCCTAAAATGTAAACTTAAAGTCTTCTTGGGTCTTTTCCGAGTCTTTCCCTGGGCATGTATGGTCACTTTCAAATTTTCCCCATGTATGCAGTTGTTTTTAAATCTCCTAGTCTTTAATGTCTGGATCCTAAAAGGGAAAAAAGAAAAATGAAGTGAGGGTTAAGAACACTGCCCCCTTTAATTCCCTAGAAGTCACTTCAGCCAGAGGGAAAGGGGCTTGCAGCGATAAGAGGGAGTGCAACAACAGTGAATGTCAGCCTCTTTGTCTACACCTCACTGATCAAAAGAAGCAATCAGTGATCAGAACACAGACCCCTGATATTTGGAGGACAGGGTGCTTTTCTCTGCCTTGGCTCCTGCAAACTGTGTGCAAGCTGCTTCAAGGACAGGTACACAGCCACCTGCCTCCTAGATGGAGGTGTAGGATGATTAGCAGCTACTCTGGTAAGAGCTGAAATTAACCAAAATTAGCCACAATTTGCTATCCAATTCTCCCCCTGGAAATTGCAAGCCTTTACTGGACTCCAGAATTCCAAAATCAGTTTTATCAATCAGATTTTGCTAGTGTAATTGTTGTCTAGGTGGGGAGACACATCCCTGATGCTTCTTCCTCTGTCATCTTCCCAGAATCCTCTGCAGTGCAGTTTTAATTTGTCTTTTATTAGACTGAGATTGCACTTCATTCCATATGTTTATATTCTATATGACTTTTCTGTTGGGTTATTGTTTTTAGTTTGAGCTCCATATATCATAGTTATTTTAGTCAGTAGTTCAACATATACAAAATATGTTCAATTTCTGGAAAAACATTTGAGAAATTGGTAACATTGGTTACCTTTTGGTAGCTAGAGTTACCTCTAGGTTGTCGGTGGGGGGGGGGTCTTCTTTTTCTTTTCTTTTTTTCAAATCATGAATAACCATTAGAACAAAAAGAAGAAAAACAAACCAAAACCTGCAGCAGAAGCAAGTAACAGTATCCCAGATTCCAGTAAATCAGTTTCCATTCAAGAGGAGCAGTCTACACCTTCCTCAGAGAAAGGTGGTGTTAATGGTTACCATGTCAACAGTGCCATCAATGATACTGAGTCTGTGGACTCACTCAGTGAAGGTATGGAGGTACTTTCAATAGATGCCAGAGAATTGGAGGATCCTGAGTCTGCCATGCCAGATACACTGGATAGAACAGGTGAGTTTATAAACAGGTCTTTGAAAAGTTGCATTCTATTGAAAAATACAGGGGTGTCCTGGTTGCGAAAGCAATCAGGAAATTAAATCTAGATAGTCTTTTACTTTCAGTTTTGTTACCTCTTATGTGAGTCATATTTTATAAGTATCAAAGGCGTAGAAAAATATAATTCTCATTCTACTGTCTCATATTTCAATTTTAGTCTAAGTCAGTCTTGTGGAAATTTTCTACCTTAATAGTCCCTTAGTACTTAGAGGCTACAGATGACCTTAAGATGTTTTTTTAAATTGCATACTTATTAAGGAAAATGACGATGATGAGTTGATGTTCATATTCTAAGACCCAACACAGTGAGGAATATATAATATTAACTGTAATACAGTGGCTTTCATGAGAAGTAGACAGTTGGTTTTTATAGTCCCACATTTATTTTCTAGTAAAGTGTTTAGTATTAGTTATAAATTTAAACACCCTGTACATTTTTTGTATGTTTTTATTAACCATTTTGATGACTGCTGGGAAGATATTGCGAATACCTTTTAAAATAGGTTTTTTAATTACTGGTTTATTAATCCAGTTCCCTTTGCTTGATTACTGTTGGTTTTATAAATATAATGCCAGTTTAGGAATTATGCTTTACTTTTCAGATGTTCTTTTATTGACTACTTCATACAAACAAAAAAGACAGAGAAAAATACAGCACTTACACTGACCTCAGACAAACCAAAGATAGTCAATGGCTTCCATTTTTTTCTGAGATAGTTTTCCTTTCATTTCCTAACCCTTTGCCCTTTATATTCCCTAAAGCTTTTAAAACTCTACTTTCCGTGGGACAGTGTAAAACTTTTTCCTTGAACATGACTTACAGAAGCTATCAGAAGTTGGTGATGTTGACCCTCTTGGCTTTTTTGTACCCAGAGCCAAAAGGAAGCTACCAAGGTACAGGGAACAAGCTAGCCTGCCTAGAGATGGGCTGACACAGATTGCTCCTCTTCCCCATTCAGGATGCCACTTAGGGCTAAGCCAGATGCTACATGTAGCCTCATCCAGCTGACTTTTCTATTTTGTCAGTTGACTTTGTTCACAGCATATTAAGAGATGTAATTTTGCCTGAAAGGTTTTTACTTTTTTTCTTTGTGTTAAAACTGCTTGATTTATTTACCCCTATATTTTGCTCTTAAGTACTGGCCTCTTTCTTTGACAGGATCCATGCTGGGGAATGGTGTCTCTGATTTTGAGTCCAAGCCTTTGACTATGCACTCTACTCAGAATTCTCAACAAAATAGGAATGCTGCCAAGTCTCTCTCAAGATCAACTGCAGGACCTCAGTTTTTGAATCTGGGGATTGAAAATGTTCCACTCTCCACCAATAAAAAGCTAGGTAAGTCAGAAGCCTACCTTTGAGAGAAAACCAAAACATCTGTGTTTTTGGCTAAAGAGGGCAAATTATCTTTGTTCCCACAGATGAGGTCTCAGAAGGGCAGCAGGTAATACTTTTTTTATTTACTAGGCAGTGGTTACCCAGCCTTTCCCCAATTCTGGTACGTGGAGTAGTTTAGATGTGGTACAGTCTTATTACAGTGATGAGGACCCTGTTTGTGAAAGAAAAGTCAGACACTACCAGCAGGATGACTTTTCTGCTTACACTAATCTGTTTCTTTTATTTGCTTTACTGCAACATTTTTGTGCTGTTCCCTCCATTTTTATCTCCTCGTTGACTTAACAGTAAAAAGCTCTTCCATGTCTGACATGACATTTTAAGGAAATAGCTTCATTTCTCTTCATGACTTTATGCTTTTACTGATACCTGTCAGACTGTAGCTCTATAAACAAGATCATTTTCTCATATATACAAAGCATTGACTGGTGGTAGCTTGTTGCTTTTTTTTAAAACTGTAATAACCACTTAAATAGTCAACCAGTAATTAAACAGAGATAATAGCCCCTCTGAGTATCATACATCTAAGCATGGCAGTCTACTCCACTAGACAAATGAAACAGAAATATAAAAGACACTCGTAACCTGTAGCTCTTTATTGAATTATTTATTTCACATGAGCTAAATTTAATTAGTGAAGCTCTCCTTTTTCATGTTTCCAACATAACTCAACGTGGTGCAGAAAAGCAAGTCTGAGAATATTCAGTCAAGTAGAAATAAAAGCACAAGGCTTGGAAGCTTTTAGGTAGAGTTTTAAGGAAATCAAGTTGAAATGAGGAAGAATTGAGGTAAAAATCTAAAAATGTATCTTGGCATATTATAAGTTTTTTAGATTCATAATTCTATCAATTGTATGTATAACTTTGGCCTTGGTAAATAAAGAAAGGTTAATAGAACTCACAGAAACTGGCTATAATGTGTTGGGTAGGTAAATGTATTTCTTATTTACAAAGTTGGCTTCCCCACCTGTAATTCTTCAAACTATGCTACAGAGAGAGAACTTCATCCATTTTGTAATGTCTACATGGTGAATTATATCTGACTAAATCCTGTCATTTAGAGAATTTTGAAAATTTGGTACCTATTCAAATAGTTATTCTCTTAGTATTTTTTTTCTCTGTTCCATTTCATCTTGAGTAGCTTCTAAAATTGATGAATTCAAATTCATTAATTTTTTTTAACACTTCCTAGTCAGCTGTTAATCCCATCCTAGTGTCTTTTTCATCTCAGACATTGTACTTTTTTATCTCTAGAGATTAAGTTGGGGTCTTTTAAAATATCTTCCATGTCTCTCCTTACCTGCCTATGCCTTCCTCTACCTTCTTGAACATAAGATATCTGATTAAATTAGCTGTTTTGATGTCCTTGTCTACTTGGTTCTATATCTGTGTCATTTATGTATATTTCTGTTAACATATTTTTATCTTCATTATGGGTCATATTTTTCTGCCTCTCTGTATGTCTAGTAGGTTTTTTATTGGATGTCAGCATTGTGAATTTTGTTTTGTTGATTGCTAGATGTTTTTGTATTTCTTTAAATATTCTTGTGATTTGTTCTGGGACTGTTACTTGGGAACAGTTTGAAGCTCGATATTAAGCCTTGTTAGATGGAAGTAGAGCAGCCTTTAGTCTAGAGTTAATCCTGCCTCATTACTGAGGCCCTACCTGGTGCCCCGGTTGGCTGGTGTGAGCATGAAATGTTCCTGGCCTGGGTGAGCTCTCAGGATTGTTCTGCCTGCTCCTTTTGGAGCTTTTCCCTGTCTTGGGTAGTTTCCTCACACCCATGCACTCTGTAGGTCTCTGTACAACTCTCATTGTTCTGTAGTCTGACCTCTCCAGATTCTACCCTGACAATTCTAGCCACCTTGGCCTTCCCGAGTTCTCAACTCTGTCCTCTCAATTCAGGGAGTCCTCAACTCAGTTTAGGATTTCTCCTCCTTCTATTTCAAGCTCTCTTGTGGCAGGAAGTTGGGGGTAATCATAGGCCTCACTTCTTTTGTTTCTGTTTTCTCAGGGAAATAGTGCTGTTCCTTGCCCATTGTCTGAACACCATTGTTTCATATATTTTATCTGTGTGAGTGTGTTTAATTGTTTGAAACACGAGGGTAAATCCAATTCTTATTAGTTCATCTTGGCCCGTATACTTACTATTTTTTCTTTTTGGTATCATTAATCTACAATTACATGAGGAACATTATGTTTGCTAGACTCCCCCCTTCACCAAGTCCCCACCACATACCCCATTAGTCACTGTCCATCAGCGTAGTAAGATGCTGTAAAACCACTACTTGTCTTCTCAGTGTTGTACAGCCCTCCCCGTGCCCCGCCAACACTATACATGCTAATCGTAAGGCACCCTTAGTTCTTCCCCCACCTTCTCCCTCCCTTCCCACACATCCTCCCCAGTCCCTTTCCCTTTGATAACTGTTAGTCCATTCTTAGGTTCTGTGATTCTGCTGCTGTTTTGTTCCTTCAGTTTTTCCTTTGTTCTTATATTCCGCATAAGAGTGAAATCATTTGGTACTTGTCTTTCTCCACCTGGCTTATTTCACTGAGCATAATACCCTCTAGCTCCATCCATGTTGCAAATGGTAGGATTTGTTTTCTTCTTACGGCTGAATAATATTCTATTGTGTATATGTACTACATCTTCTTTATCCATTCATCTACTGATGGACACTTAGGTTGCTTCCATTTCTTGGCTATTGTAAATAGTGCTGCAATAAATATAGGGGTGCATCTGTCTTTTTCAAATTGGGCTGCTGCATTCTTAGGGTAAATTCCTAGAAGTGGAATTCCTGGGTCAAATGGTATTTCTATTTTGAGCTTTTTGAGGAACCTCCATACTGCTTTCCACCATGGTTGAACTAATTTGCATTCCCACCAGCAGTGTAGGAGGGTTCCCCTTTCTCCACAACCTCGCCAACGTTTGTTGTTGTTTGTCTTTTGGATGGTGGCGATCCTTACTGGTGTGAGGTGATATCTCATTGTGATTTTAATTTGCATTTCTCTGATGACTAGTGATGTGGAGCATCTTTTCATGTGTCTGTTGGCCATCCGAATTTCTTCTTTGGAGAACTGTCTGTTCAGCTCCTCTGCCCATTTTTTAATTGGATTATTTGCTTTTTGTTTGTTGAGGTACGTGAGCTCTTTATATATTTTGGATGTCAACCCTTTATCAGATATGTCATTTATGAATATATTCTCCCATACTGTAGGGTACCTTTTTGTTCTATTGATGGTGTCCTTTGCTGTACAGAAGCTTTTTAGCATGATGTAGTCCTATTTGTTCATTTTTTATTTTGTTTCCCTTGCCTGAGGAGATGCATTCTGGAAAAAGTTGCTCATGTTTTCAGGGTATAGGTCTTTCACTTCCTTGGTTAGGTTTATTCCTAGATATTTTATTTTGTTTGATGCAATTGTGAATGGAATTGTTTTCCTGATTTCTCTTTCTATTAGTTCATTGTTAGTGTATAGGAAAGCCTTAGATTTCTGTGTATTAATTTTGTATCCTGCAACTTTGCTGTATTCCGGTATCAGTTCTAGTAGTTTTGGAGTGGAGTCTTTAGGACTTTTTATGTACAATATATCATGTCATCTGCAAATAGTGACAGTTTGACTTCTTTACCAATCTGAATTCCTTGTATTTCTTTTTTTTTTGTCTAATTGCTGTGGCTAGGACCTCCAGTACTATGTTGAAACAGTGGGGAGAGTGGGCTTCCCTGTCTTATTCCTGATCTTAGAGGAAATGCTTTCAGCTTCTGGCTGTTCAGTATGATGTTGGCTGTGGGTTTTTCATATATGACCTTTATTATGTTGAGGTACTTGCCCTCTATACCCATTTTGCTGAGAGTTTGTTTATGTGGTGGATGATGTTGATGGATTTCTGAATGTTGTACCATCCTTGCATCCCTGAGATGAATCCCACTTGATCACAGTGTATGATCCTCTTGATATACTTTTGAAATCGGTTTGCTAATATTTTGTTGAATATTTTTGCATCTATATTCATCAGGGATATTGGTCTGTAATTTTCTTTTTTGGTGGGGTCTTTGCCTGCTTTTGTTATTAGGGTGATGCCTGCTTCATAGAATGAGTCTGGAAGTATTCCCTCTTCTTCTATTTTTTGGTAAACTTTAAGGAGAATGGGTATTGTCTTCTCTGTATGTCTGATAAAACTCCGCGGTAAATCCATCTGGCCCGGGAGTTTTGCTTTTGGTTAGTTTTTGGATTACCAATTCAATTTCTTTGCTGGTAATTGGTCTGTTTAGATTTTCTGTTTTTTCCTTGGTCAGTCTTGGAAGGTTATATTTTTCTAGGAAATTGTCCGTTTCTTTTAGGTTTTCCAGCTTGTTAGCATATAGATTTTTGTAGTATTCTCTAATAATTCTTTGTATTTCTGTGGGGTCCGTCATGATTTTTCCTTTCTCATATCTGATTCTGTTGATGTGTGTAGATTCTCTTTTTTTTTTTATAAGTCTGGCTAGGGGCTTATCTATTTTGTTTATTTTCTCAAAGAGCTAGCTCTTGGTTTCATTGATTTTTTTCTATTCTATTCTCAATTTTATTGATTTCTTCTCTAATCTTTATTAAGTCCCTCCTTCTGAAGACTTTAGGCTTCATTTGTTCTTCTTTTTCCAATTTCGATAATTGTGTCTTTAGACTCTTGATTTGGGATTGTTCTTCCTTCTTTAAATATGCCTGGAATGCTATATACTTTCCTCTTAAGACTCCTTTCACTGCATCCCAAAGAAGTTGGGGCTTTGTGTTGTTGTCATTTGTTTCCATATGTTTCTTGATCTCTATTTTAATTTGGTCATTGATCCACTGATTATTTAGGAGCACGTGTTTGTGAGCCTTTTTGCTTTCTTTGTACAATTTATTTCTAGTTTTATACCTTTGTGGTCTGAGAACTTGGTTGGTAGAATTTCAGTCTTTTTGAATTTACTGAGGCTCTTTTTGTGGCCTAGTATGTGGTCTATTTTGGAGAATGTTCCATTGCACTTGAGAAGAATGTGTATCCTGTTACTTTTGGGTGTAGAGTTCTATAGATGTCTGTTAGGTCCATCTGTTGTAGTGTGTTGTTCAGTGCCTCCGTGTCCTTACTTATTTTCTGTCTGGTGGATCTGTCCTTTGGAGTGAGTGGTGTGTAGAAGTCTCCTAAAATAAATGCACTGCATTCTATTTCCTCCTTTAATTCTGTTAGTATTTGTTTCACATATATTGATGCTCATGTATTGGGTGCATATATATTTATAATGGTTATATCCTCTTGTTGGATTGACCCCTTTATCATTATATAATGTCTTTCTTTATCTCTTGTGACTTTCTTTGTTCTGCAGTCTATTTTATCTGATACTAGTACTGCAACACCTGCTTTTCTCCTTGTTGTTTGCATGAAATATCTTTTTCCATCCCTTGATTTTAGTCTGTGCATGTCTTTGGGTTTGAGGTGCATCTCTTGTAAGCAGCATGTAGATGGGTCTTGCTTTTATGTCCATTCTGTTACTCTATGTCTTTTGATTGGTGCATTCAGTACATTTACATTTAGGGTGATTATTGAAAGATATGTACTTATTGCCATTGCAGGCTTTAGGTTCGTGGTTACCAAAGATTCAAGGTTAGCTTCTTTACTATCTTACTGTCTAACATAACTCACTTATTGAGCTATTATAAACACAGTCTGATGATTCTTTATTTCTCTCCCTTCTTATTCCTCCTCCTCCATTCTTTGTATGTTAGGTGTGTGTGTGTGTGTGTGTGTGTGCGTGCTCTTTTGTGTTTCCTTTGACTGCTTTTGTGGGTAGTTGATTTTATTTTTTGCCTTTAGTTAGTATTTAATTGTTCCGCTTTCTTTGCTGTGATTTTATTTTCTCTGGTGACATCTGTTTAGCCTTAAGAGTGCTTCCATCTAGAGCAGTCACTCTAGAATACCCTGTAGAGGTGGTTTGTGGGAGGCAAATTCCCCCACCTTTTGCTTGTCTGGGAATTGTTTAATCCCTCCTTCATATTTAAATGATAATCATGCTGGATACAGTATCCTTGGTTCAAGTCCCTTCTGTTTCATTGCATTAAATCTATCATGCCATTCTCTTCTGGCCTGTAAAGTTTCTGTTGAGAAGTCTTATGATAACCTGATGGGTTTTCCTTTGTAGGTGACCTTTTTTCTCTCTCTGGCTGCCTTTAATACTCCATCCTTGTCCTTTATCTTTGCCATTTTAATTATTATATGTCTTGGTGTTGTCCTCCTTGGGTCCCTTCTGTTGGGAGTTCTGTATGCTTCTGTGGTCTGAGAGACTATTTTCTTCCCCAGTTTGGGGAAGTTTTCAGCAATTATTTCTTCAAAAATACTTTCTATCCCTTTTTCTCTCTTCTTCTTCTGGTACCCCTATAATGCGAATATTGTTCCATTTGGATTGGTCACACAATTCTCTTAATATTCTTTCATTCCTAGAGATCCTTTTATCTCTCTCTGCGTCAACTTCTCTGTGTTCCTGTTCTCTGATTTCTGTTCCATTAATGGCCTCTTGCATCTCGTCCATTCTACCTTTAAGTCCTTCCAGAGATTGTTTTATTTCTGTATTCTCCCTCCTTAGCTCTTGCATATTTCTCTGCAAGTCCATCAGCATGGTTATGACCTTTATTTTGAATTCTTTTTCAGGAAGATTGGTTAAATCTATCTCCCCAGATTCCCTCTCAGGGGAGAATGTCTGGGTTAGTCTGGTCTGTATCAAATTCTTCTGCCTTTTCATGGTGATAGAGGTAGTCGTAGGCAGTTGGTGCATGTGTCAGCTGGGAGAACCAAGTCCCTTTCCACTTGCTCCTGGCCTTACTCTCCTGGGAGAACGGCCACCCCTAGTGGCTTGTGCTGGGCAGTTGCGTGCAGGTGAGGTCTCTGATTCTTGCCCACACCGCTGTGGAGTAAGCTCCCAGCCCCATGCAGTTGCTGTGGGCGTGGGCGGTCTCAGGCTGCTGCACCACTGTGGCGGGCCACGCCAGAGGGGGAACAGGTGGGAGGGTGTTTATCACCGTGAGGAGCCTCAGAGCTGTGCTGCTGCCCATGGGTTAGGGCACCTGGAGTTCCCCGGGATTCCCAGCTGCTGTGCTGAGTGTCCCGGGATGCTTCCATCCAGCTGTGGGGTCCTTGTCCCTTTAAGACTTTAAAAAAGCACTCACTTTTCTTTTGTCCCAGGGGCACTGGCTGTGGGGACCTGCTCGCAGGTTTTACTGTCCCATTTCCCTAGTATCCAGCACACCACGCACTGTGTGTCTGTGCTCCTGGTGCGGATGACTAGGTCTGGGTATTTAGCAGTCCTGGGCTCCCTCTCCCTCCCTGTTTCAACTGCTCTCCTCCCACGAGGGAGCAGGGGTGAGGGGTGCGCTCAGGTCCCGCAGGGTCACAGCTTGTATCTTACCCCCTTTGTGAGGCACTGGGTTCTTGCAGGTGTAGATGTAGCCTGGCTGTTGTCCTGTATCTTCTGGTCTCTCTTTTAGGAATAGTTGTATTTGTTGTATTTTCAAAAATATATATGTTTTTGGGAGGAGATTTCTGCTGTCCTACTCACGCCACCATCTTGGCTCCTCCTGTCTTACTATTTTTTTTAAATCAATGAAGACATTGGTTTTCTTGTTGAGGAGGATGGCCATTTAGGAAACATTCTTAGTCCACATGACATTTGTTACTTTACCGCTTAGGTGTTCAGATCCAACTTTAAAGTTACCTATGCTCCCTTTTAACAAAAAAAATCTTTGGGGTTTTTATTTAAGGTTCCAACATTGAAAAATCTGTGAAAGACCTCCAGCGCTGCACAGTGTCTCTTGCTCGGTATCGCGTTGTAGTTAAAGAAGAGATGGATGTTTCCATTAAGAAAATGAAACAAGCATTTGCTGAATTGCAGAGTTGGTAAGTTAAGATGTATTTGGTCTTAGTAGCACAAAAATGATTATTTATAAAGATGGTCAGTCATTCACCAAGTTTTTAAATTCCTAGCTCTTAACTACTCTTTGTAGAGGGGAGAGACTTAAAAATCTTATGGTATATTTAGCTTTCTGCTTCCTTCAGCTTCTTTTGGTCAAAGTATGGGAATGAGTGTGGTACAGAAAACTCATTAGGCTCTACCAATGGCCTGAGGTTAATATTGTTTGAAAAGGGACAAATAATTATAGAGTAGATCATGCAGACTCTAGGATCTGTCTTTTAAACTGGGAACCTATAACCAAAGACATGATGTTTTTGGACAAAGTTATAAAGTAGAAAAGATCTGTCTTTGTTTTCTTACCTCCTTTCATCCTTCCTAATGCACCCCGCCCTAATGGTCTCTTCTGTGCCCTATTATTAATCATTGATTTGCTTTAATTTTGTGTTTTTCAAACTGCATTTCAAAGAATACTCATATCTTAAGACATATTTTTATGTGTTCTGTGAGGGAAGTAGTGTTTGGTAGTTAAAGAGGTTTAAAATAACTAAAAAAAAACTTTATTCCTGAACTTCTCAGTGCTAATGTGTATTTGTGAACCTGCAAGAGGGAACTATACTGTGCTGTTTACCAAATGTATTTAATTATAGAATCTTTGTGGGACAAATGTAGATTCTAATGTTATCTTGAACACTGAAGCTGTCTTAACTGTTAGATATTAAGATGTTAGCTAATATTTAAACTGCAAGTCCTTTCTGGGGGATATTTGCATTTTATAAGGAACTTTTCTGAAAATGGAAAACATCTCAGGACCAAATTCAGTAGAATGATGGGGAGACAAGCAGCTAGGTTGATGTTTGGGGATCTAAAACTGTCCATTCTGCTTATCTGCAAGACTTGCCTGGATCTGAAATGTGTGAGAGTTTATGAGTAGAGAGAACCTATAGCAATGCTCCTCCCAGCCAGCCAGCCCTTTTCTTGACTGTCTTTGGTCATGTTCAACTGTGTCTCTATTTACAAACTTAGTCTGGCCAGGACTAAGTGGACAAGAGATAGTGGGAGTATGGGTAGCTTAGTCCTTCTGTTCTATGGACTACAAGAGGGAGTAAATTAACAAAGATGTGGAATAAAGCCTTCAAAAAGTTTCTGATCCCTACCTACTTTTATCATTTTTATCACTTGCAAAGCGTAGAATGGTTCATTAAATCATCACAAACAAAAAGTACTTTTAGGATGGATAACTGATCTCCTTGTCTGCCCATGCTTAGCCCTCAATGCCGTTTCACCTTTCAAGTTTTATAGCTAGAAACTTTGTTATGCCTTCTGTTTTTCTTGCATATATTTTTGCTCCAGATTACTTGTCTCGAAACTTAACATTTACATTTCCTCTTCCATATACTAGTTAATGCCACTTTTTCAGCCTAATATGCTCCCCTGTATCATTTTACTTAGCTGACTCAAACCAATTCTCCCAAACTCACCTGAAGTTAAGTTCTGACTTTTCCTGGAAATTTTTCTAGGTAACTGATACCTCTTCTTTCTGGTCCTCTGAGGGGAAGCACTGTGCCTGTTGCCCTGGGTTGTTATCCTATCAGATATTGTTGACTTATTTAGAAAAGAGTAAAGAGCTGTGAGTAGGTCATCATAGCTTTGCCTTGATAAGCCAGCCTCTGGTCTCCATGACTATTTAGCTTACTGATTACTAAGCAACAGGATCTGACTCCATTCAGAACCAGCCTGAACCAGGAAACACAGTTCCGGGAGAGAGATTTGTGAGTTCCTGGTGACTTGGAAACGAGCCAGGGGGAGCCTCCTTCAATAAATGACAAATGAAATGGTTTCCTGCCTGGGAACTGTGTATTTAGGATTGAGTAACAGGTGTAGCAACCAGATCAATTTAATTTGAGGAAAGAGATTACCTGCCCTGTCCTGCTGGTGTAAAGCCCTTTTCTCTGGCTGATTGGACTTTTAAACTGCTCTATTTCAATGCCTCTTGTAGTTGCTACTTCAAGACATAACTGGCAGGTGAGCTTACTCCATTTGGCACCAAACCAGAGCTTGGAGTTAATGTCACTTAGGAAGCAATTGTTTATATTGGTTTTAGCATTAAAGAAGAGCAAAAGGTTCTAACAAATTTGCAACAGTAAGACCACATTACCCCTTGTGGGGCACTAGGAGAATTATATGGATAACTGCTTTCACTTTGAGGCCAAATGAAAGCTGACACATACCTGTGGGAAGGTAAAGTCAGAGGCTTTCCAGTATATAAAACTTAAAATCTGTTTGTATTGGTGATGCAGTAATAATCATCTCTAGACCCAAGTTTCCTTCTCTGGTTAATAATTAAGACTTATATGACTTACATTGTTGGAGCTATTAATTGACATAGTTTAAGGCTTTTAAGGTGCAGGATATGGAGTGGAGCATGAAACTGGAGTATATAAACTACTTTGGACAGTTTTTATATAATGTGTTAGTGAAAAATTCCAATAGGATATGTACTCAGATTGTCTTTTAAATAGAAATTTCTGTCTTATTGAAAGTTAATAGGTGCTTATTAAAGGAGAGAACAGTTCAGAAATTTGAGATTCTACACGCACTGTGTTTACTTAAGATTTTGACATTTTTGCTGGCTGATTCCTCATTGACCTTAGAAAAGTTACTTCTTTTGGTTTGAGCTCTTTCCTTCTTATATTAAGCCACCAGTAGTCTTACCTAGGCTTTTGGATCCTTACATTTAAAGTCCATATGGAGTTGCTGAAAACTTAGGAATCACTTCATGAACCAAAGCACATTGAAAAAAGGTCTAAAAAGCAATAAAGGAATGGACTAATGTGGTAATGTATCATCAAATGCATTCATAACACTATAGTTTTACATTTTTCTTCACTTTTTGCATGTTTACTACATGATAGCTTTTTTCTGCTAGTACTTGCCTCATGTTGATGTTCTCTGATTTAAAATTTTAACTCTTTAGCCACCTGTGAAAAAAACTAATAACATTTGAAGATTACAGTTTACCAAAACATATTCAGCCACATTATCTGATTAATTTATATGGATTTCTGTCCTGTGAAGTAGAAATTTTTGCCTGAAATATCTTTTTCCATCCCTTTACTTTTAGTCCCTGTATGTCTTTGGGTTTGAAGTAAGTCTCTTGTAGGCAGCATATAGACGGGTCTTGTTTTTCTATCCATTCAGTGACTCTATGTCTTTTGATTGGGAAATAGGAATTTTTAATTCTACTTTACTAGTGAAAGGGATTTGAGTCTTAGGTTAAGTGATTACCCAACATGACATCATAAATTGTAGACTCAGGATTTGAATCTGTTTATTCTGACTCCCAGTAGCCTATAACCATCTGTTGCTGATGGCTCAGTTCCCCACTAAAGCTTGAGAAAAAGGCTAAAGACTCTTGGGGCAGGTCATATGTAGGATTTCTCCCTCAGCTTAAAGGCTATGAAACAGAGAAATGCCTCTGTAGGAGAATTTAGGGATCAGGAATTTAGCCATGTGGAACAGGTTTAGAATGAGGAGGACCAGAATTTTGATTGAGCATATGAAAGCCTTTATAAGTATTTTTTTTTTTAGTTCAATACAATAAAATTGTAGGGAGAATAGTCCATCCAAATATTCAGTATTATTTTGATTTTTAATTCAGAAGGTCCTAAATCACAGTTTTTAAGTCACAACCTGGAGTACCTTGTGATTCAAATATTCTTCAGGTCAGATTTAGTTGTGGGAAAGGTATGAAAATTAAAGGAAAGGTTACTGTGGAGGGGGATCAATTAGAAAGGATTTCTTGGAGGAAAGGAATCATTATCAAGCCTTGAAAGAAACATGGAATTTACAGTGGCAGAATGGTTGGGGATAGAACACTGCATTCAGGAGCTATGACAGAAGCAAAGGCATAGAAGGGACCCACAGGGGTTCTGCAGGGCAGCTAGAGCTAAGGGGCAGTAGTTCAGAGTAGTGAGAGATGAAGTCAGAGGCAAAGGTAGAATGAGCATTTGATGAAGAAATCTGACTTTTTTTTTAGGTTCTATTATTCCCTCTTATTTTTACTATATTTCCCAGTTATAACAATAGTTTTTAAAAACAAATAAAAACCATGTAATTCTACACCTTCATACATAACATTTTTTATTTCTGTGTTCTTTATCTGTATGCATATATAACTTCATAGTTGTAATCATAGTGAAAGTGTAATTTTGTAAATGCATTATTTTCACTTAAAGTTACCTTTGATTTAACTGCCTACATTTTGTAGGTGTATGAGTTTATTTAAGAATTTCTGGACCGAAAAAAAAAGAATTTCTGGACAATGGATCTGAAATGTGTGACATACCACACATTTTATAAAGCCATTTTATAAAACAGATGATCTGTGGAAACTGAGACATCAGCATGAGTATAGAACGGGGAATAAGTGCTGCTGCCATTTATTGAACTATTATTACTGTGTGTCAGAAGCTTTTATGTACCATGTCTCTAATCTGCATACCAGTATCACTGTAGTAGTATACTTATTTTATAGATGAGAAAAGATAGGCACAGAAAAAATAATTTTCCCAAAGTCATACTTGGTAGTAAGAGACACTTTTCCAATATACCATGCTTCATTTTTCTGTGGCTTCCTAGGTCTGTCTACTTGCCTTTATTCTTCAGTCTTTTCCTTCCTAATCCATGCTTCTCCCTTTATACGTGTCTGTCATAATTCCAGAGAGAGGATTAAAAAGAAAAAAATCACAGTTTCAAATGAGGATCTATAGTCAGCCACTTTCTGTGTGGCTTTAACACTGCACACATTTTTCTTTACCAACCAGAAACTTGAACAGAATACTCCTTGGTAGAATACTCCTTGGTAATCTAGATTGCTGCTGTTTATTTTTTCCTAAACATATTGAGAAATATTGAATCATATGGTCTCTAGTATAACTTTAGAACTGCGATGCTTTTGACCACTGGAAAAGAACAGAAAGAAAGGTTGTCCATTGAGGGCCTGTCCCCCAAGAACATCTTACAATTCGCATTCTAGTTTCTTACAAGCTACTTCAGACTCTTGAAATAGGAAATCACATGTCTTGGTGCTTTATGAAGGACTCCTGGCAAAGCGGAACCCATCAAAATTTTCATAAGATCCAAGTTTGATTTAATAAGCTAGTTCTTTCAATTCATTTTACCCCAGTTGTTTAGCTCAGTATGATGCCTGGCTACCTAACTGGTGTTCTTTGTTTTGAGCCCACATGTGTACCATATTCCAGTAAGGCCAGTGCTGGGAGTATGGAATTAAAAAAAACACATGTAACATCATAAACTTCCTGCTAATAAAAACTACTGACAATTCTCTATTTTGGTTGTTTTATATGAAAAGAGGGAAATGTCTTCAGAGAAATAAAAGTGTTTGCATTGGCTTTGCTTGGATTTCTGCTTTGATTGGAATTAGGATAGATTTTAAGTTTTCAGCAAATAAAATCAAGTACAAATATTTTCCAAGAACATTATTGAGTAGTTTAGAGTATTATCCCTTGAAATAATTGGCTATGAAATGACCAGAGTTGTGTTTTGAAAACATTGTGTTAGAAAACATTGTTTTCTAATGCACCAACCATAAACAAATGACAGTTAACAATTTTTGGTATGGAGGAATTACTGAAGGCAATAGCTAGAATCAATCAGCTACATGTTAAATATATCCATTTAAAGGCTCATTTCAACTGATGGACACACAATTTATCTTAGAGACAAATGCTAATGCTATGGGAACAACTGTTCTGAGCAGCTAAATTATACAAAGGCTTTAGACTAAGTTGAGCAAATGTAGATAGTAAAAAGTTCTTGGTAAGGAGGAAAGGAAATGCAGAACATGTGGACATTTACCAGTCTTTTTTCTTAATAACAGTGACAAAGTCATGTAAAATCACCTTTCATGATTGAAGAAAGGATATGGAAATTCGCTGTCCTGTATAAGGTTCATGCTTAATAAGACTTAGTGTCTTTCTCAGCAGAGTCCAGCAATATTTGGCTGAATTTCATTAGCAGTTTCAGAATCCAATACATCAGTTGCTTACTATGGTGGATTTCTACCCAGAAAAGCCTCAGGAGAACAGTTGCAGGTTAGCACCCCACGTTTGGGAGTGAGCAAGGTAGCAGAAAGTCTGCCGGTCTGAATGCCTTTCCTCACTCTCTGAGAGGACTCGCTGCATGCAGTTAGGACATCTAAAAGCTGTTACCTCCCGCCACGGATACTTTCCAATCTCTTGGCCACAGATCCATACTGGGACCACCATTGAGCTTAGGAACAGGTGGAAAACTTTAGCTTAAGTTTCTTCAGTGTTAGAAATTTATATTATGGTAAATTATTGTTTTCAATTGTAAAAATGCCTCTGTTATTTATTCTTATGCTTAGCCTACTCTTCACTTTTGAATTATTCCCACCTTATTATTTTGTTGCACATATTCCTCATCTTATTTATAAAAACTTTCAAAAATAAATATAAGTCAAAAGGATAGTACAGTGATTAGTATATTTTCAGTGTGTGTGTGTTTTAGTGGAACCTTTTGGAAGTTGCAGACATCATGACACATCACCTCTAAATGCTTTAGTATTAATGACGTAAACATGTGGTCATTCTTCTACACAACTGTAATACATAATTCAATGTACTTCTAATAAGAAGTTGTTGTTATGCTATTTTGTGTCCATCTCAGCCCATCCATAGTGATGCTATCAGCTAGGCATGCCTGGAGGCATTCCAAGGCCTAGGCCCTGTGCTACTTGTGACAAGCCTATACATGAACCAGGGTTGTAGCTGCACTGGCCCTTGTGGTTCATAGGATTGTAAGATGCACCTCAGCAACAACTATCATGGAACTCTGGGGTTACTTACCAGTTCTAGAGGGTACACAGTATTTCCAGGGCTGCACAGCAAGGTGTGGTTAGAGCACAGACCTGAGGTTATGCTGTCATTGGGGTCAAGGGTGGGAAGCCTAGGGTTTTGCAGGCTCACTCTTTCTTGCTGAATTCAAAACTTCAAAAAGAGAATTAAAGCATGGGAAGGGAAAGCAGGGTCACTCAAGTGGGCAGATCTAGGTCACCCAGGGCTTTCTAAAAGTGGATCTTCATGGATGGGCAGTCTGGTTCTCTCTCTAGTTGTGTAGCTGATAATATAGTCTGTTTATTTGAGGTGAATATCTTTGAAATGGATGTCTCAACCATCAAGTGCTTAACGTCAGTCACTTACATCACAATCTAATTGTCAGACACTTATACTATATATTGAAACATTTATTTATTTTTGTACTTTAAAGACTTATAAAAAATGTTATGGAAAATTGAAAATACTTATCAAGCTTTTCTCTGAGAAAATATCTCAGTAGCCTTGGTTAACCAATAGATTCTCTGTTGAATGCTTGGCTGACATCACGGAACATTTCAATAGAAGTTATCAAGAGAAGGCAACATGACAAACAACAAAGAAAAATAGAAGTGCTTCCTGCTTTTCGGTGTGTTTTGGCATGAAAACGTGGACCATTTTTTTTAACGGGCTTGTTGTATCATTGTCCATGTACTGCCCTATAAATTTTTTATGATAACCAATGAGTCAATCAAGAAACAAAGTTTATTTAAATGGATACTAGTCGTTCTCACAGGGGAAAAAAAAGTACACAATGTACCAGTTCATATTGCCTCAAAAAAGTCTGATTGTGATGGTGCAGAACTTTTCTTCCTTGTTAAAAGTCATGTGACATTCTTTTTCATAATGAAGATTGTAAGCACCAAAACTTACTTGTTTGCAGAAGTCTTTTAATAAATATTTTACAAGCTTTGTCAGAGACAAATTTTGGTGGACACAGTGTCTGCATCTTAAGATGATGCAGCAACAGGAGGGAGGTAATGTCAGACTCAAAGTCTGGCAGTGCCTGTCTTAGCCGGGCTTCTGTTTTGCCTTTTAGGTGTTCCAAATGCTGCTAGTTCTTGGAGCAAAATATTGCCAAGGTTTGGGAATGCTTTCTTAGCAAAGTATTGCTGTCCTGCAATAGTTATGTCTTCTCTCATCTGGTGCTTTTCAATTAATATGCCAACCAAATTTGTTTCATTACAAGTCTATTTATTAACATCATGCATAATGATTATCAGATCTGTGTTGTCTGGCATTTCATTTTAAAGGATTTTGCTCCTTGAGGAAATGACTTTGCATTAGATTTTTTTTTTGTATCTCACACTGTTGTCTCTTTATTAACTACTTTGTACTAACTTAACTACATACTGACTTAAATTGAATTAGTGCATATGGATATGTGTGTATTTGTGTATGTATGTGTATGATTGGTTTTACAACCAGAAGCAAGAGTAGAACTTCGTTAACCCTGTAGCTATAGTCCCATTCACAAGGAAAAATCAGAATGAACTCCAAATTTGAAGAGAGTTGGAACATTTCGTGTTTGTGCAGGTATTAAAATTTTAGATGTTTTCTTTTTTTGGCCACCACTAAGTAAAGTGGTATGGTTAAGGAAAATTATTTGCACCCAGAGGTTGAATACTAGGGCATCCTACTATCTCTTTATACATTGAAGGTAGTAGACTCCTTTCTAAGGACATGGAAAAGCATTATGTGTCTAGAACCATTTATATTTGCAGTAATGCCCACATACTGTTCTTTTTCTGTAAAAAGCCTACCAGAAACCTTTGATTCCATATTTTCTGGGTTATTGTTAAATGTTTACCTGAAAGCAGCACAATGTAAGAATGTCTTTTAACTACTATGCATTCTAAATCTAAAGACTAAAGTGGACTTCGTGCAACTGTAGTAAAATGTTGAAGATACACAAATCCTGATTGCAGATAAATTTACCATGCCCTGGCAGAGGTATTGCCTGGTAAAAATTCATTAGAAGCAGAGGTTTCCAATTTTATAGACCAAAATATAAAATAAAAAACATGGGAGCACATATGTGGAAATACATAATTTCCACAAGGCTTTAGCACAACTTAAGAAATGTTCTGTAGCTTGCTACTGCCACCTACTGGTTCTCAACTCAGATTTCCAGCTATGGTTGTGACATTGTACGTAGAAATAAAAGGGAATTAGGTCTATTTTTTTTTTTAATCCTTAAAATATTTTTTGCTTAGGGTAAGACAGAATTTTCATGTGGTCCATATACAGTGTTCACTTTATAGTATACTTTTAGTGAACAGCTGGTAAGTCTTTTTCCACTATTAACAATGTGCTATTTCTGTTTGAGTTTCTGATGGAGCCTTTTTTCCCTTTGTCATCCCTTCCCAGTTTAATGGATCGAGAAGTGGCATTGCTTGCTGAAATGGACAAAGTGAAAGCCGAAGCAAGTAAGACTGATTCTTAACGCCCCTAACAAAAAGCTCAGTATAAATGCCACCATAAGAGTTTATATATTTAGTTAAACAATCTTGAGTAGTTGTATTGCACTGTCATATGAATCCTTTTGTGGGAAACAACTATACCAGAGCCTGTTTTTTTAATATTTCCTTTTAATATTTTGAATATAAAGTTGAGTGTCATAAGAAACTGCATCACAGTGTCTGCTATCTCAGCACTGATTCAGGGAATAAACTATGCAGGAGATGCCTGAATTTTGTGTTTTGCCTCCAGCGATTGAACAATTCCATTGGATATTTTTTTCCTTGGGATAAACCTTTGGCATAATCAGAGCAGACTTCACCAGGTTGCCGACAATTTAGTGTGTGTCTTCCTGTCATTACCTATCTCAGAACTTTGTTTTCTCGGTTTATGGAACAGTCTTCTCACAGTGTCTATTATTATTAAGCGGGGAAAAGATAATGAAATGAGGGTTTAGGATACCATGACTAGGGTTCCTTAAAAGCTTCCTAAAATAGAGGCTAACTTAGGTATTTTGTGGGGTTTTGTAAAGAATAGCAAAATATCTGTTTTTTTGTAATTTCTTTTAAGAGTTAGGTTAAAGATTTACAGCTCTGTGAGAAAGAGAGTGTGTTAACTGCAACTCATACAGTAGCATTGATTTGAGGCTTTTCGCTGGTAGGTTTTGCTGTCATGCATTGAATGCTAGATTTGTAATTAGGAAGGTTGTTTCTTTTAACCTGCTCTTGAACTGGTAAGAATGGAAATCGGTTGAGATAATGACTCACAATTAAATCATTTGTGTCTATGGTCATGAGCCAGAGCAGCTTTGCAGCACTAAGCTGAGTTGAGTTTTGATCCATTTTAACCTGAAATGTTAAATGCATAGCAGAGATATTCTCTACTGTTTTTCAGAGATGAAATTTCATTTAAATTGAGTGGTATGTTCTGAATTTCTAAATGTAACGATATCAATCCATTCATGTGCCTGTGTATTCTCTCTTTTTGAAGGTGAACTTCAGATAAAATAAAACTAGTAAGAAGACATAGTCCTTACTTTTGAGAAGAAAGTGCACTTTAAAATATATCTTTTATAGAAAATTTCAAATGTATTTCAAATAGGCTAATGTAATTAACACCTATCGCCCAGCTTCAGCCAATTATGAATTCATGGCCAATCTTACTTTATCAAATTTAGAGCTGTAAAGTTTTACTTATCTTCATCAATTTTATATCTGTATCTCCTTTTTCCATGCTGAAAATCCTGGTTCTCAATGACACTAATGTAATTATTCACTTACTAATACTCTCAAGAAGGTGGTACTTTTTCTTTTTAACACATTATGGTTTTATCAACTTATATGCTCATAGTACTACATAGTTCAGTTTTTTTCACACATTTGTATAGTTTTTTCTACTCCTTAGATATTATTTACAAGTTAGGTTTTCCTTTTTTTTCATCTCATAAGTGAAACAAATTCCTTGGAAAGAATGTGACTTGTCCAAAGTTATGTAATTAGATCCACTAAGTTATCTTATATGTGTAGAAATATTTACTCAATACATTTTCTCTATCTTGAGATCTATAATTTTGTTTTAGAATACTAGAGCTGAGAGAAAATGAGTTTTATACAAACGTCAAATAGGTTTTATCTTGGAAGTAAGACAATAGATCATCTGTAGTTGTTGGCCCTTGGTGTTGAGAAACTTATATACACATGTTCCTAACTTAATAGGGAAGCGTCCCCTCACTTATTAAGGTGACTTGGGTATGGGCAGCCCGTGGGTGGCATATATGTGGCAGTCAGACTAAGTCAACTTGATAAAGAAGTTCAGCTCTCTGTAGTACCTGATGTAACTCTTGGAAAACTATTTTTTTCTAATGTAAATTTGGCTAATTTTTCAGTAGGTTATTGGATTCTGTGTATAACAATTGTGATTGAGTTTGACTACATGTAACACAGTGGCCTAAACTGAGTTTGTTTTTCTGTTTTGAAATGAAAGGTCCAGAGGTAAGCAATCCAAGGCTGGAAGGGCATCTCTAAAATGACATGAGGGACCCAGTCTTTGTCCTTGTACCCAGCCATCCATAAAGCATGCTTGTGGTCCAAAGATAAAGAGCTTTCCTGTAAACCTTGCCCTGTGATTTCTGCTTAGATCTCAGTGGCCAGAGTATATCACATGACTGTCTTATCTGTAGCAAAGCTAGGAAATGTAGATTGTTGCCTAAGCATGTTGGTACCCAACAACATTGGACTTCCTTTAGGAAGAAGAGAATGGATATGCAGTTCCTAACAGTCTTTGCTACAGCCCATACCCTCAGCCACCCAACATCGCTCTTTTTTCCAAAATGAAAACACACTCACCTTCTCCTCAGTGGCCACACCTCAAAAATCTTATATAGTTAGTATATTCATCTGAAAGTCCAAGACTTCTGGGTAATTTCAAACCTTCCAACAGGTCTGGCTATGGTGTCTTGTAGTCTGGGGTCCCTTAAATTAAAAGAAAATTTAAATGCCCCCCCTTCAATGTTACATAGAGAAATAAGAAGATAATTCTAGAAAAAATCTCCACATAGGAAAGCAGTGATGATCAAATCTAACTGGACAGGAATAGCACAGTACCTGCCCTGGGGGTAGGAAAGTTTCCTTGGTTCTCAGGCAGCTCCTTGTTCTGCTTCCTTGAAGGATTTCTTTTGTCCATGTCCTCTGTAGCCCCTGGGTTTCTACTCCTAGAGATTTTCTTTTGTACAGTCTGTTGTCCTCCATGGCCATATCTGAGTTACACATCTGGGGGTATGCTAAAGTAGATACATCTTAAAAGGCTGTAAACAACCTAAACATCCATCATTAGGAGACTTGGGAAATGACTGTGGTATATCCACATAGCAGAATACTAGGTGGCTGCTAAACAGTGAGGGAGAGCCAATTATTAAAAGGGAATGAACTTCAAGCTATATTAAGCAAAAATAGCTAAGGTAAAGGAAGAACCATTTATATGATACATACTCCTCTTTGTGAGGAGGGAAAAAAGGGAGAGAGAGAGAGATGTTGTATATATGCATAGAATATATTTGGAAGTATACCTACAAAATTGTTAACACTGGTTTCCTCTGGAGGGGAGACCACAAAGTCAGAAGCAGCAGGGACACATCCACTTTTCATTTTATATCCATTTATTCTAGGGGAATTTTTTACCATGGGTACATATTTGTTTTAATTTATATATTTCTTGATAGAAAAATTTCTTTGGCTAGGAAGAGGAAAAAGAAAGAGAAATGACAAATGATTTATGAGTTTATGATTCATAAAAAGTGTTTACCATTTAACTGCCTTCAGAGTTCTTCAAGAAGGTGGAAACTGGACCTTTGGTATATTCATTTTCTGGATGGGTGGCAGCCAAGCCTTTGGCCCTCCAAATACTTACTGCAAGGCCTACATTTCCAATTCTTCTTTATCCTATTTAGCAGAACATAAGAGTCACACTCCCTTTTCCTCTACAGTGGAAATTTTGCTCAGCCGGCAAAAGAAAGCCGAACTTCTAAAGAAGATGACTGATGTGGCTGTTCGAATGTCAGAGGAGCAATTGGTTGAGCTCAGAGCTGATATAAAGGTATGACTTCCTTCTCCTTTCTGTCTTTCTTCTTACCCCGGGGACCAAAGAAGCAAATCTCCCTAATTCATGGCCACATCTAATATTATTGAACTCATGATCTTCTCTTCCCAAACCTGGCTCTCTTCTAGGTTCCCTTTCTCTGTAAGTGGTACTGTTGTCTGTCCAATTGTCCAAGCCGGAAACCTTAGGAAGTTTTTCCTTTTCCCACATTAAATATGTCAGCAGACCCTGTCCATTTGACACCCTATTAAAGCTTAGATTGGACCTTTTATCTTCATCTCCACTACAGCCATCATGATCAAGCTACTGTTACCTCTTGCTTGGACTTCCAGAACAGCCTCTTAACTGATTCTGCCCATCCACTTTGCCACTGCTCCAACCTCCCCATCCCTCCAAATCTGTTCCTCACACTACATAACCTGCTTTAAACTTTACATTTTAGAATAAAGACTGTAATTCTTGAGATGGCCTGTAGGGCTGTGCAGTCTGACTCTGCCACCATCCTTGTTTCACACGTGTCCCCTTTGTTTCCCATACTCCAGCTATCTTAGTGTTTCCTTTCCACAGACAGATGCTGTACCCCCTGCTGGAGGGCAACCGCACATGCTCTTCCCTTTGTTCAAAAACCTCCCCCTACCCAGTCTCAGCATACAAATCACTCATGACCTCCTTTGTTTCCGACTTTCCCATTATATCCCCCTTTTGTGCCTTTGTAGCACAGTAACAATTCGATGTGCATTTGATTCATCTGTCCTCCCCACTAGATTGTGAGCTTTACAATGCAGGAACTGCTGTGTCTCTAGTGCCTCACACAGTGCCTTGGCACACAGTAGGTGTTTGGCAAAGATTTAAATAGTCGGTGGGTTGATTCTGATTTTATACAAGAAAAATGAGCAATCTGAGATATTGATTATATTGTAATCATAAAGATAACTTGGGCTCAACTCTCATGTTTCATTTTCTTATGTAAAGAGTAGTGTCTGTGAGACTAAGCATGGGAACCTGACAGAGTTTGGGATATTCATGGCTAGTTGTGGGCACTGTACATGAGGGCAATTGGCCTTCCCTTCCCCTAAGCCCTTAGCCACTGCTCTTTCCGAATACATGAGATGCATTCCCATGTTTAAGAGGAATATTTGCTGTAGAGGCTGAATAATAGCCTTTGAAAAATGAAAACCTAGATGGATCATCATCTGAGACCTTACAGCATCCTCATCATCATTCTGACCCAGCCTTTCACACAAACCTGTGTCTTGTTGCTCTCTCACTTCTGCCCCTTAGCCTCTACTAGGGTCTATATAGCAAAACTATGTACATTTTAAATTACCATTTTCTGATTAGCGAACACTATATTACTGTTTCACAGAAAGTCTTCCTCACATTGGAGCCAGTCATTCTCATTGAGCTATCCGGGCAAAGCTAGAACCCCTTTGGAATTAGATGAGAATTCTGGCTCTCACAGGCTTCATCTGTTCCCTTCCCACGTGGTTGAAAAGCTGCTAGAAATATTTCTGCAGGCTGACTAAGGATCTGTTTCTCTCCACATTTTCGGTGTACTGAAGTGGGTGCTATGCAATTTAAATCTCTTATTTCCAGATCATCTTATTTCCGTCATCCCTGTTGTGTCTTTGGCTAGAATTTGTTTCAGAATTAATCTCAGACTGATATTACATGTCTGAAGGCTTTATGTCACAGATGTTCTTATGCTTTCCTAAGCTACAGTATACTCTGAAGCTTTAGGACTTCAAGGCCCAGAGGTAATTTTTCTATCTTCTTTCCCATTTACTGCTTATAGATGCAAGGGTCCTGATGCATTTGCCTCAACCCCTTGAAATCCTTAGTGAAATTAGACCACTTCCAATTGGAGGGCTGCTCCAAGTTCAATTCTGCATCATTCTAGTCCTTCATCTTTTCATTTTCATCTGAAAAAATGATTCAGGCTACCTTAGAAATTGTTTATTGAAACACACACCCAGAAGCACTTTATTCCTGACATGTTTCTAGTCCCACAGTTTCTATAGTATAGGTAGTTTTTGACGCAAGGGGTTGGTTACTTCTCAGCTCAGTCGGCCTAAAGGATTAAATAACATAGCACAAACTCTTCTCATTTGCAAAGTTGACTTTTCACATGAATGATTTTCCATCTCAAGAAATTTTTCTTATTTCAAGGACTAACAAATCCTACTTTATAAAGAGATGAAGTGGGTTTCCTAAGGAAGTTCCTGTTAAAGAACACCAAACCATCTATTTAAATAGAATCATTTTTGTAACCTAGGAGCATTATTGCTGCCTGTGCTTCTATATAAAATGGAACAATATGGAGAGCAGCCAACAGTGGAAAGATGGCCTTCTATTATATTCTCTTTTTTCTCTACAGTTTCTCTTGATTATACTTAATGGCCTTTGACTGTCCCATAGCATTTCATAAAGCTCCCAAATAGATTTATCTTTGGGCCCTTAAGAAAATGACTAAATTTTTTCAGTAACTCAGCGTTGGTAATATCATGGCCACTTAGTAAACATAGGAGAAAAAGAAGACAATTGGAAGTAATTCTGTTTCACCTGCTGATGCAAGCTCTAGAGCCCATGTGTACTGTTTGTCTCACCTGGGGCTTTTCTTTGCCCTTTCTCCAGCACTTTGTTAGTGAACGTAAATATGATGAGGATCTGGGACGAGTAGCCAGGTTCACCTGTGACGTAGAGACCCTAAAGAAGAACATTGATTCATTTGGACAAGGTAAGAGGGTGAGAGTTCCTGAGCACTAGAGAAGGTGGCAAGAAGACCAGTCTCTGCTGATGAGAGATTGAAGTGCCCGTCGACTTCTCCACTGACTCTCCTTCAGTGCCTCTGGTGTTTTTGTTTGCCTGCTTGTTTTTATGAAAAGTAACTCCTAGATACTTAAGAAACCAGTGGATGGAGATTCTGTGTGCTCCGAGGATGGGTATTTTCTAGTTCCCTAACTTTGCACTATTGTTTTTCATCATTTTCTGCTGAGTTGAGAGGTGTGTGATATATAGTGTAGAGAGCATGAGTCAGACCAAAGTTTGAATCCTTGGTACTACATGAACTTCTGGAAGCTCATTTTTCTGTTCTCCAACATGGAGATGACAATACCTGCCTGACCTCGCACATAATGGGTCCCTAAATAACAGCTTTACTGGGGAGACCTCTAAAGTAAAAATCTGTGGTGACACATCAGTCAAACCCTGAGCTCAGCTCCTTTGCTCTTTCTCTCAGTGTAAAAGTAAAATGTTGGACAGTGATTGTGAGCTCAGCATTAGTTTAGACTTATAGCGAAGAAAAGAACTAGGGTTTTTTTAAACCATTGAAATCTGACAAAATTTGAACTGAAAATATTAATATTTTTCAACTAGATTGGCACTTTGAATTTGGAATTATTTTTGCAGAAGGAACCTTGGGAAGATACATATTTGTCATAAAGACTAGTTCTATTCATATTGAACTAATCTTGATTATTTACACCTTGCATCATTCAGATGTTTTTAAAAAGATGTAGCATTTTATTTACCTTTTTCTTTCTTTGCAAAGTCTGTGCTTTACAGTGTTCCTTGCAAAGAAAGCTGAACATATGGCCCATACTATTGTTCCTAGGCTTAGTCAGCTGCTAGAGCCATAGCCTGGAGTTTAGTTGGAAATGGCAAGAAGTCATTAGTTGAGGGGGTGGGGGTCAGGTCACTCAGATCTTAAACTGTTCTCTCATCTCTAGGAGTTACTTTACAAAGCAGTGGGGATATGAAAAGAGTAGAGGAAGAGGGCAGAAGGGAGATTTTCCTCCCTATTACCATTTTATAAGCCTACCTTTAGAACTACTCAAGCAAGTAGCTCTGTATCTTAAATTGCTCATTGGGAAATGAAGAAATAGGGAAAATCTTACCCATCATGCTCTTCCCCTCCCATTTTGGTTTCAGTGTCCCATCCAAAGAATAGCTATTCCACCAGATCCCGATGTAGCTCAGTTACATCTGTGTCCTTGAGTAGCCTGGGCGATGCCTCTGCTGCTTCCTCTTCCACCTGTGCGTCCACTCCCAGCCTTACCAGTGCTAACGAGAGACACTCGGGACCAGGACAGACTCCTGCAGCCAGAGCAAATCCCAGTGGCCGGCCCTGCCAGCCTCAACGAGAGGTAACCTAGCTTCCTCACTGAGCAAGTTAGGACATAAAACTACTAGGTTGTCATGGTATAAATGCCCACAGCTCAGTACATTACCTTCCTCTCTTTCTACCCATTCCACACCTATTTTGAATCCTCAGTTAGTTCCAGAGAAAGCATGTATGCTCCAAACCAGCAGCCAGTTTAGGTGTTCTGTTGCCAAGACTGCTGACTTTCTGGCATTGGCAGTGATCCTAGCCATTGTAGGCAGGGACTACCTGGTAATTAGTCACAGTGGGAGTCATGCACCCGTCTCAAGGTAGACAGGCTGAAGGGAGATTTTCCTCCCTATTACCATTTAATAAGCCTACCTTTAGAACTACTCAAGCAAGTAGCTCTGTATCTTAAATTGCTCATTGGGAAATGAAGAAATAGGGAAAATCTTACCCATCATGCTCTTCCCCTCCCATTTTGGTTTCAGTGTCCCATCCAAAGAATAGCTATTCCACCAGATCCCGATGTAGCTCAGTTACATCTGTGTCCTTGAGTAGCCTGGGCGATGCCTCTGCTGCTTCCTCTTCCACCTGTGCGTCCACTCCCAGCCTTACCAGTGCTAACGAGAGACACTCGGGACCAGGACAGACTCCTGCAGCCAGAGCAAATCCCAGTGGCCGGCCCTGCCAGCCTCAACGAGAGGTAACCTAGCTTCCTCACTGAGCAAGTTAGGACATAAAACTACTAGGTTGTCATGGTATAAATGCCCACAGCTCAGTACATTACCTTCCTCTCTTTCTACCCATTCCACACCTATTTTGAATCCTCAGTTAGTTCCAGAGAAAGCATGTATGCTCCAAACCAGCAGCCAGTTTAGGTGTTCTGTTGCCAAGACTGCTGACTTTCTGGCATTGGCAGTGATCCTAGCCATTGTAGGCAGGGACTACCTGGTAATTAGTCACAGTGGGAGTCATGCACCCGTCTCAAGGTAGACAGGCACCGTGGTGGCAAGTTCACCAGAGTGCACTGAGGCAGCAGCTCCCTGGAAGTGGGGTAGAGTATACCAGGGGGAGGGAGAGAGCCTGGGCGGGTGGAGTGCCAACACTAGAAAGTTGAAGCTAATCCATAGTTTCTTTTCCTTGGTTTGAAGAAGATACTCAAGACCAATCCAAGGCAATGCTGTCAGTAATTCTTCAGAGCTGGTATTACACTGGAATTGGAGGGCAAAAATAAAATCCCATGCCATAAGCTTTCTGGGTTGTAATGTGGAACATGTACTAAGTGTTACAGCAGCATGATTTTATCTATTGTTCATGATACATAGCAAAGCAGATCATAATAATGTTTATTATTCCAGATGTTCATTATCTTTACAAAAGATTTATGGTTTGCAAAGTTCAGATCTGTGATAACATCCTTGTCCAGATGAGGAATTGTAGCAACCCAAAAAATGTCCTTTCTTCCCTTTTAGCTTTCTTCTTGTTTCCAGCTAAAGAAAAGTGGACTCCTTTTCAGTGGAGAAGAGCCTAGGGGTGAAAGATGGGGGGTAAAGTAGTGAGATTAATTCTGATGTAGTGGCTAGGTCGGACTGAGTGACAGAATAATGTGAGTCTTGAGAGAGAACTGAGTCCCAAGCATGGGATATCACAATTAGGCTTTCAGAATCCCCCTGTAAACTGGCCTGGAACAAACAGGCTGCCGTAATGCCAGAGTGCTTTGAACGTTATATTCTTTCATCTTTAGGTATTGCCGGGGAACAGACAAGGAGGACAAGGCTACAGGCCACAAGGCCAAAAGTCCAGTGACTCCACGAACCAAGGGCGACATGACAATGGGGGTCGTTACAGAAATAGCTCTTGGTATTCATCTGGTTCCAGGTATCAGAGTGCTCCATCCCAGACATCAGGAAACACTAGTGAGCGAGGCCAGGCTCACTCTGCAGGGACCAATGGAACTGGAGCCAGCACAGAGCCCAGCCCACCCAAACCCTCATTCAAAAAAGGGCTCCCCCAGCGCAAACCCAGGACCTCTCAGCATGAAGCCGTGAACTCTTGAGGGAAATTCAGTTGGCCTCTCTCCTCTCTCTCACACAATTCAACTTGGTAACTGGACTTTAGGAAACATATAGTGAGATTTAATAACAGAAAGAAGTATGCGCATATCACTTTTTATGCCATTCTAAATATTTTTGGTTTCTTCTCTCATTTTCTTTTTACCGTTTTTGGAAGGGACGTCGTTTCTCCTTTGACCTTTCCCAAAGATAGATTGAAGTGACCTTGAATAGATTGATTCTGATTGGTCATTTCCATAGGAATAACAGGCAAGTGTTGCCAGGTCTCTGAGGGCAAGCAGTGTCCTTCCCAGTGCACAGGCCTTTCAGTCGCCTGAAGAGGCCTCCCTCAGCAGCTCCCTGCTATTCCGGTTCTCAGGAGATGCATCAGAGCTAGTCTTGTTGCTTTTCCAGTCTAAGCAGAAGCCCCACATGCCTGTCAGGATCCCTCTAAACAGCAGTGTAACCAGGAGAGGCAGTGAGGGGAGTGTGTCCTACACTGAATTAGCCAGAGAAGGGTATATTTAATTGATGAGAGGGGAAGACACTAGGAAACATTGAGAAGAGGCCTCTGCTCCCAGAACATTCCTAAGATTGATGCTCAGATCAGTGTTTCAGTCTCCTACTTGGCACCATAGCCTAACCTGCAGTTTCTCCAAAATTCCCAAAGTTGCCTTTCCTATTAGGTTAGGCTACAAATCAGTCCAGGGAAGCCTATGGGAAAGTAGCATTTAATTAAAGTGAAAAAAGGAAAAAAAAAAGTATTTCTTTGTTTCAATATTTGAAGATTTTGTTGTTATTGTTCTCCCTCTTTCCTGAATGCTATTCTGATCCTGAACCAAATTTATAGCAATACAATTAGTGTTAATCTAAGATGTTGCCTATCAAAAAATTGCCACAGTCAGTCTTTATATTTGAATAAATAAAATCAACTACATAAACGTTCCCACATTTGTTTCACAGCAGCAAATGACTTCATTTCATTATCTCATTTTCTCTGGGCCTCACTGGGTAGAAGTCACTACTGACACCTTGTTTGGGGCTTAAAATGAGGGTGTCTGATTCCTAAATCATTTGTCCACCATGTAGCTCCAGAATCAAATTAAAATGTGTGAGCCAGGATGAGCAATTGCAGCTGTTCCTTGTGGGAATGGATTTGTAGGACAGGGAATGGTGACTTCCCAGAGGACAGCTTACCAGTGTAGAAAAACCACAGCTGCCAACAGCACCTCCAGGCAGCCAAGGTTCTGTGAGCACTCCTCTCCACCAAGCCTGCCTCTTGGCAGGAGCAGGGAAGGTAACAGGACGATGGAGCTCCTACATGGAGCAGGTGGCATTGGTGCCAAACCCCTTCCACCCACACCTGTCACAGCACCTGTGGTTTAACAACAGCAGAGCTTTTTCTTTCTCCAGCATTTGTTCTCCCAAGTCTGCAGCCCAGACTGTAAGTGGCAGTGGTGCAGAACTTAGCTGCCTCAGGCCTTCCCCTGGCTCTTGGCTGAAGCCGAGCTGTCAGGGTTCAGGTTGGTTGAACAGACTGAGAGACAGAGAAAGAGAGAATGCATATGCGTGCGTGCGTGCGTGCGTGTGTGTGTGTGTGTGTGTGTTTCATTAAAGAAAACAGTAATCGAGTACTGGGAGGCAAGGCCATTTTCTATGGGGCTAATACCTCATTTTGGAACTATGTCTAACAACATCTTCAGCCTTCCGGGTGTCAGGAAAAAGCCCTGCTTTTCTAGTAATTGCTTACCTATACTTTGCAGGAAATCCAGAGATTGAAGTGACCTTAAAGGATTATAAGGTCTATATCCCCATATCCAGGCAAGACTACATTTAACCACTTAGACAGATGGGAGGCCGCATGTTTGTCAAAACCACTTCAAAGTTGAAATTAAAATCTCCTTATAGGAAAATATTTGAAGATGTTTTCTGTGAACATGAAAATTATGAAGTGAAAATTATGAAGCTTTTTTTTACATTTGTTTTTAATTACAAAGGTAGTATTTCAAATACTGAATAATACAGAAATGTAAAAGGAAAAAGTGCAAGTTTTCTATCTTCCCATTCTACTTCTCAGGGGTACTGCTTTAATAATTTGGCATATATTCTTCTTCAAAGCATATATGTTCATATACATAAGGATATAATATATATAGGCTTTTAGATTTTTGCTTTGTTTTTATAAAAGGATCATACTATATGCATTCTATAATTCTTTTTTTAAATACTATGTCTAAACCATAATTAGGATTTCATTTGTAGATATCGCTCCTGAATTGGCCAATTTGACTTTCTTCAGTGAAGAGAAGTTAGGTGTATCTTAAGTCTGAATTATACAGCCCATTCCTTACTCTCACCGTCTCTTCAGAGAGATCCTACCGAATTTCATTTTTCCTTCCCTTCCAGTTCCTCTTAGAGATCAATGTCTTGCCCTTTCCCAACCTTGAGATAGGACTGAAACTTCAGGTTGTTTAGCTCCATCAGTTAATGTGTCACTTGAGAGAGACAATTTACATTAGCATGGCTTCATTACGAACATCAAATATTTCCTTGACCCCTTATTTATGGCAGTTTTTTAAATTCACTTTTTAAAAAAGTAATACAAACTAGTTTGGGTTTTTTTTTTAAGGTACAAAAGGATACATAATGGAAAGAATTCTATGCATGCTCTAAAACAACTTGCTTTTTTCATTCGTCCTCACTTTGTATAACTAATTTTTCTTTTAAGAAAAATCAATAGATGTAAATGGTAAAATACATATATAAACAACTCAAAAGGATATATGGTGAAAAATAAGCCTCCATCCCACTATGGACTATTTGTCCCCTTTCCAGAGGTGACCACTGTTAAGATTCTTGTGTATCCCTCTGGAGATTTTATGTACTAGCACATGTATATCATAAGAGTGTGTATCACTTAAACCTCTTTCCATGTTGTATACGTAAACATACCTTATTCTTTCTATGGCTACATAGTATCCTACTGTGTAAATCATTAGTTTAACCACTCCCTAAAAAAAAAGATGGTTTTCAGTTTTTTGTTATACATATTGCTGAAATGACATCTCATAATATATTTTTCATTCCTCACTTGTGAAAAGACACCTTTAGGATAAATTCCTAGGAGTGGAATGGCTGGATCACATAGCTATTGATGATGGACTCAGAGATGCACCCTTACCAGCCAGGTTTGGGAGTCCTCTGTACAGCTGCTGAGTGGGCAGCTCAGGAGAGGTGAAGGTAACTCAAACACAGCCCTCCAAGGGGCTGATAAACTAGCTGGGGAAACTGAGACACACAGAGAAAATAATACTAGGCCGCAGTGTTGCCTGAAAGAGCCATGCTGTTTCCTGCAAGTAAAGTGGAGCAAGCACTGCTCTAACGGCTGGATCCTAGGCTCAAACTACAACTATTGCAAGGGGTCATTGGCATTTGTTTGGTGGTTCATAAGTAGGGTTACCACATATTTCAGGATCCCAAACCAGGGTATAGCTTATGAGTCTGAATGTGTGTATGGAGAAAAACAGGATAAACTTTTCAGGTTGGGAGTGACCTGGAAAAGCCAGCACACATGGCTGTCACTCTGAACCAGCCTATGCTTTTGGAGGTTGGTAGAATAACACTTGCCCCTGGAAATTCTGCCCTTGACCTAACAAAATGAGGGTTTGTTCTCCTGATTGATAGGGTTCACCCCACCTTTCTGTCAGCACACTTCATTGAAGAAGCAGGTGTCCAAAACTCTACGTGTTTGGAGATTACCAGCTGATACGAGGAGCCATTTGGTCAGTTTCAACCATTTAGAGGACAAGACCATATGCTGGCAGCCAGAACTAAGCAGCTGCTATATATGAACCAAGCTTGACTCCTGGTTGCTTTTAGCCACCTGAGCACATTCTCTCCTTCAAACATTAAGGCACCTACTGTGTACTGGGCACTGTGCTGAGTTCTGAGACAGAAATGATTCCAGCACTTCCCTCAGCTGCTCTGCAGGTGAAGGAAATGAAGCTTTCTCAAACTCTCGAAGTCATGTCTGGTGGCTGGACAGTGTGGTAGAGCAGAAAGACTCTATACTTTTGAGACATATACTTGGATTTTAATTCAGGCTTCACAACTTGGTTGCTATGTGTCTGACTAATCTTGGGCAGTTAACATCTTTGAACCTCTTCGAAACCGTAAGGTAGAGACAGTGACTCCATGGAGGGGTAAGAGCCAGGTCCTGCAGAACACACCCTGGTGTTTTAAGTGAACCAATGACAAGTTAAACATTCATTCACCCTAGCAACTTTGCTTCTGTCTCACCTGACCTGTTAAAAATATATGAAAGACTTACCCTATCTCCAGACCTTATTAACTGTAATAATAATTTAGCTCTATTCCTTCTATAGGTTTTCTCCTCTCAGTGCCTATCCCTCCAGCATGGTGAGCTCTGTCCTCCATACCTGTCAGTGTCTGAACCCTCTGGGTGGGGCAGGCCAGGGACTGGTGGCGCTGACCTGGGTAAATAGTCACCAGCCCAGCCAGTATGCAGGAGTGAGGCTGGGGCTAGAGATTCCCAGGGGAGAGCCAAGAATGTTATTTCCGTACAGGTGCTGAGGGAGTTTTGTCACCTACTTGGCTGCTACTCACCAAGGGGGAAACACTATCTGAAGAAGATTTTTCTGGGTGAGGAAACTCACCCACCATCCCCACCACCAGCATGACTGTTCTCCAGCCTGCCCGCCCCTTCACTGCCGTCAAAACAGCAGGAACAAATACCACCCACTCTGATTCCTCAGGGAGAAGTCAGCTCTCCTTTTTATGTCTCTATTCAACTTAACCCAGTTAGGCTTTCTCGGTAACTTGATTTCAAACAAACCCCTTTTTCTGGTGCTGCCTAGAACACACAGATTGATAAGTTTTCTCAGACTCGCTCCCTTGCAGGCCCCAGGCAGGGTTGTGGTAGACTGCCCTCCCAGCAGGCAGGCGCAGGCGGCAGCCCACAGGTCGGGCCTGAAGTCATCTGCACTGTGGCCCCAGTGCATCAAGTCCAGGGCTGTTTGTAGTGGGCACCCCAGGTCACTATCTGACTACGCATCAAAAGGACTGTCCTCTGAATAGACTCTTCACCAAAGGGCAGCACAAGGTACCCCAGAAGCACAGTGTGGTAGCAAACTCCTCTCAACCTAGTCAAATCTGGGTTTAGATCTGGTTAAGCTACTTACTACCCATGCGATATACAAGTTTGTTTATCTGTAAATAAAACCATGTACACCCCAGGATTCCCTTGTTTGAAAGTTCATTGTGATTTACTTACACTAGCTGGGATTCTCCACTAAAGGAAGAGGAATAGCCTAGAATAAGCTGGCCAAGGAGGGGCCACATGCTGGAGGAATTAAGTATTCCAAACTGTGGTGGTTGCTTTTGGTGAGGAGAGGGCACCTTCAGCAAAGCTTCCCCGTGAGCTTATTTCCCAGTGCAGGGCAAGCCCTGGGGGGACTTTTAATAATAATCACAACCACTTACTACTCTATTCTGTCAACCATCCTTTGAGGAAGGATCATTTCACAAAGGAACTGATGCCCTTGGAGATTAACACCCATGCTATCCCCGTCCCACCCACGGTGGTCCAGCTGGTCGGTGGCAGAGCTAGAATTTGAACCCTGACTGGTCTGACTTCAAAGTCTGAGATTTTCCCACCGCACAGCACAGTCTTAGAAGCAGAAGCTGGCTGCACTGCCTGAGAGAGCCAGGCTGGAGACAGACCTGGGGACCTGCAGAAAGGAGGGTGGAGAGAGGGAAGAGGGGAGGGGAAGGGAGAGGCTCCTGGGGCTCTGTTCCTCGACAGCCACCTGTTCTCCCCCCTGCACACAGCAACTGACTCCGCCTGCGCTTGGGGGGAGGGGAGCTTTTTCCGTTTGTCTTGAGCGGTTTCACCCTTGCTTTAAGGCTCTTCCCTCCTCTCTCTCTCTCCTTGTTCCTTTTGTAGATAGATAATACTCCCACAGTCCTCCCACGGCTGCTCCAAACGCAGCCTCCCGAGTTTCTTGTTGACAATGGCTTTGAGCTGTCTCTGAACAGGGCCCCCCCTCAACCTTCCCCTCCCTGTGACTCCCCACTGTGGCCCAGGGAGTCGAGAGTTGGTAGGAAGGGGAGAGAGAAGGAGAACACAGTGAAGAAACCAATGCTCCCAACAGCCCTGTGCTCTGTTCACTTTTAAATTCCTTCTCAGCCCCGTCTTACTGTCTCTAAATGTGGGTCCCTGCCCCTTGTGTATATGTCTATAGGTGGGGGTGGGGGAGGTGGAAGGAGACAAGGAATTCATGGCTCTGCGCTGAGAACCCGTAAGCCAGTCTGGCAGAAAGACCCGAGGCACTAGGTGAAGTGAGAGAGAGAGAGAGGGCTGAAATGCTATGCCTCAACACACTCATTGACAGGTCTGGCCTTAAATCAGCCAGACTAAAGGAAAGGGTCAGTGGCTGCATCCTCACCACATACATACATTCTCACAAATTCTTGGAAGGGCAATGAGGGAGGGGGTTCTTCAAAAGCCAAAACATTGCTGTTTCATTATGGGATAAGAAGAGTGTAAATCATTTCATTCAATAAATATTAGTAAATTTCTTCTGGAAGTAGGGACCAGGGCACCAAAAGTGACACGGGCATTGTGCCTGGAGTTGCAGGAGGAGGCAGTACATCTTAGAGAAGGTGTTTGACTTCTCGTCCTCAATGTTTTAATCTGTAAATTGGCAATTATAACAGTAACTACCTCATGGAGTTATGATTAATGGGATAATAGAAGTAAAGCATTTAGCACTGCCTAGCACAAAGTTATTGCTCAATAAATGTAAGCTATTGTAATTCTTTGAAGCACCCCACATATTCCATCTGCCCACTGCTCACCGTGAGCCAAGTAATCTGGTTTGGATTTGTCTTCATGTCCAAAACAAGCCCAGGCTGGTAAGGTAGAAGCCTGAAAGTCTGAACACTTGGGGGTTGGTTATAAGGGTGACTTGAGGACCACTTGGATCTGATTATACAACCCCTGCTGACAGGTCCTAGCTCTGCCATTTACCAACTTGGTTACCTTGAGCAAGCCTCTCTCTCTCATGTCCATCTCTGCCTCTGTTTCCTCATTTGTGAAATGTAACATAAGGAGCATCCACCCTGCCAATTTCACAAGGCTCCTAAAAGATTCAAAATCAGGTAATGAAAGTTTACGTGTGCAAATGTCACCCCCTGTTCTAGGTCCTTTACTCATTTAATCCTAACAACCCTCTGACGTAGTTATGATTATCCTCATTTCAGCGAGGAGAATATGGAATCACAGAAGGTAAATCACCAACAGCGGTGGAAGGGCTATATTCAAACCTAGGTTCCCAAGTTGGGTGCTCTGAACCACAGCTTCATCCTGTCCCAAAGTGAGCTGACCCCTAAACTGGGCCCTCTGGTAGAATACTTGGCCATTGCCTGGAGGACCATAGATGTGTGGCTGGGCAGGGGTCACTTTGCAGTCCAGGACCCATGCGGAGGTGGGTGGGGTGTCGGGAGCATGATCTGCAGACTCCATAGGGTCATTCCTCCCGGAGCTGGAGGGACGCTTCCTCCCTTTCCTAGCACCAGCTCATTTTACTACAGGTGCCTGGGGCTTTGGCCTTGACGCAGATGAGGGGTGGTTGGAGTGGGAGACACGCCTTTCTTTCTGCTGATGGCGACTGTGGGTGTTTCCTCGAGGGTGGGGGGTACTGCGCCTCCCGCTTCACTCTTTGGGGAACAAATTTCTGTTTTGGCCCTGGCGGCTCCTCTGGGCGCGGGCGGTAGCCGTGCTCACTGGCAAATCGTGGGAGGGAGGAGGAGCGGCGCTGGCAGCGCGAGGCTGCGGAGACCCGCGCGGCGCCTGAGACCAGCTAGCGGCGGCCGTCCCTGCCCAGCTCGGCTCCGCCCCGCCCGACCCCTCTCCCGAGCCGCACCCATGGGGTCCCGGCGGCCGCCGCTCCCGCTACGGCGCGGAGCGTAGTTCTCTAGGACTGCGGGGTGGGGTAGCCGAGGCTCAGTCTTCCTCACAGCTGCTCACCAGGACCCTTGAGCACAAGGCTAGAAGTTTTTCTCAGCTTCTGACGTCTACCAGTCGCCGTTTTTGCAGCCCAACCCTGTAACAGACTGGGAGCAGTAAAGTGTGACAACTAATAGAAATATAGGGACCAGGCAAAGGATCTAGAGCTCCCCCCATCTCACCCCACACACGCTTTCCAGCCCTAGGCACACACGGAGAGCGTCCAAACCTTACTTCCAGGGCTACCCAACCACCAATCTCCCGACAGCTCCCTGCGGCTCATCTCCTAGTGATGACAGCTCTATCCATTTTCCAGAGGGACAAGTTGAGGCTGAGAAAGGCTTGGATGCCTGGAAGCTGTGTTTAGACGCCCACCTCTCGTTCCCCGCCAAATCTCCTTTTAGACTTCTGTACAGTTGGAGCCCGCCAACTACCGGCCTCCACCACCTGCCCAGCTCCCTTTCCCATTACATTTTTCCTAGGGGAAAGCTTCTAAAACATAGAGGCCCCGCTCACCCCCCGCCTGAGCTCTCCTCAGGTACCGGGGCGGGGAGGAGAGGCTGAGAGGAGGCTCTGTGAGAACCCCCATGTTCCAGAGAAAGACGCCTCGCCCCTGCGGCTGAGTCAGCCCAGCCGCACCAGGCGCTCGCCCGTCTTCTCCGAGGGGCGGGCGGGGCGGCGTGGGGAGGCCCGAGCGGTCCGCGTGCCTGGGATGGGGAGCCGCTTCCTCCCCTGCAGTCACCGAGGTCCCGAGGGGAGAGGGATCCTTGGCGGGAGGCCTGTCCCTTTAAGGAGGCGGCCCTGCCTGGGTGTGCCCCGTCTCCATGGTTACCCCAGTGCAGGCGGCGGGCGCCGGAGGGAGGGAGGGAGGCTGCCGCTTCTCCCGAACAGACGGAGGGAGCTGCGGGGACCCGGCGCCGAGCCGAGCCCGAGCGGGAGCCGACCCGCTGCCGAAACAGGAGCTGCAGCCGCCGCTGCCGCAAGCGGAAGGTGCCGAGAGCGCAGCGGGCGCAGAGCCCGGAGCCCGGGGTTCGTGGGCGGCAAGGGCGCAAGGGGCCGCGCGCCATGCTCCGGGCCCCGACGGCGGGGACGCCCCCTCGCGCGCGGGCGGCTGGCAGGGCCTGGGAGCCTGGGGTGGGCATTGTCCCCGGACGGCTGCGCTAGGGGGCGCGGGGCCCGGCGGGGGGCGGCCGAGCTGGGCGCCCTCCCCCGGCGCTGAGTCCCCGCGCCCCGGAGGGATGGGGCGGGCGGCTGCGGCCGCCTAAGATGCCTGCCATGAGGGGACTCCTGGCGCCTCAGAACACCTTCCTGGACACCATCGCCACGCGCTTCGACGGCACGCGTGAGTCCGACCCTCGCCCCACGGGCTCCCGGAGGAGCCGCCCCTGCCAGGGTTCCCGCCGATCCTGCACCCTGACCTCTCGGCCTGGCGCCCTCCCGTTCTCACTCTTCCACCCGCACCCCACCCCACTCCCCACTTACAGCTAGCACGACCATCTCCTTTCAGACTCTGTTTCCCTGAATGGCTCAGAGTCAGCATTGCTCTAGGCCGCGCAAAATGGCTAGAATTCTCTGGGTTTAGTTCCCGGGATGCCATCTGTTCGCGGGGGCGCGAACCCCGACCTAGTCAACGTAGCCCTCCCATCCCTGCGTCTGGCCATATCCCACCGACTACCCTCGGAACTGGCAGGGGTGGGGAGGGTGAAGCAGAGGAGCGGTGTTCAGGGACAGCCCAGAGGGCTCAAAAAATAGATTTAGAAAAGAGGTTTGCAAACGAAGATAGAGTAGGCGGGACTCGGGAGCGCACTGTCCAAGCTCACCTCACCGGCTAAAACCACCAGCCTAAACCTACGGAGCCTGTCTAGCCCCAAAAGGATAGGTTTGGGGACTCCCACGAGATTGGGGAAGTTTGAAGGCGATTGATCAGAGCTTCTGGATTCTACTTTCCCGGGACTCTTAAGCACAGGGAAAGCCGCAAAAGCCCCCTCTTCCCTCCTCCTCCCTCACACTCACCCCCAGTGGGACTTCCGAGCTTTCTGCCTAGTGTCTTCCATGGCCTCCGGTTCCTGGTTGGGTGGGAGCCCATCACTAAGCGCTCCCCACAACACACACAGGCTCCATCTGCTTTGCCCTGCGCTTGGCTCCTGCAGCCTGCTGATTCAGCGCCCCCCCCCTCCCCGAATATACTCCTGGCTCCAGTCTGCAATGTTCAGCTCCTGTTCTTACACCCCCATTCACCATCACATTCACTAATTCCCGAGCTAGGTCAGGCAACTGGGGCTAAAACAGAGTGCAGAATGGATGGTTACCTGGACTGCCTCCCAGTCCAGGTAGGTCCCAGTGAGAGAAGCCAGATAGCCTACCCAGGCACCTGGCTGGTGAGTGAGCCTGACAGAGGTAGGGGTAGGGCTGAGACTGGCCTAAAGCTGGTTGTGCAGTCCTTTGGGCATCCCCAGCTGTACTCCATGCTGCTCAGGACACACTCCAGAGGGCACAATGCCACACAGGACTGCATTCACCAACCTCAGTGTTCACACGTACTAATTCTTGAATGCACTCATACACACACCGCTAAGATTGGCCCTGCAGGGTACTAATACATAGGTGACACACTGATTCCTGTTCATAAAGAGTTCCTGCCCCAATCCCTCCCCACCTCAAAACACACACAGGATTCCTGGGATTTGTAACACCCACCCTTTGGTTGCAGGCATTTGGAAAAAGGAGGGGTGGTAGTCCCCATACCCCTTCACCCCAAGCCTCCTCTGAGAGGTGCTCTCTTGCAGATAGTAACTTCGTGCTGGGCAATGCCCAGGTAGCAGGGCTCTTCCCCGTGGTCTACTGCTCTGATGGCTTCTGCGACCTCACGGGTTTCTCCCGGGCTGAGGTCATGCAGCGGGGCTGCGCCTGTTCCTTCCTCTATGGACCAGACACCAGTGAGCTCGTCCGCCAACAGATCCGGAAAGCTCTGGATGAGCACAAGGAGTTCAAGGCTGAGCTGATCCTGTACCGGAAGAGCGGTGAGGCACCACCTGGCTAGCCTGCCTTACCTCCAAGGTCTCACCCTGTCTGGCACCCACTTCATCCACTGCTCTTCCTTTCCAGTCCCATCTTCATCTCCCCCATCTCACCCCATCTTGCCACATACACATTTCCTCTTTCTCCACCCCATCCACTGCCCATGGCCTCTCCTGTCTTCCGTCCTACCCCTGCCTCCGCCTCCACTCAATTTCCAGTCTCAGGTTTCCCACTCCAGCAGGAAAATGTCCCCATCTCAGCTGGACAGTCTATGAACACATGTATCTGATGGTCATCTCTGCCTTCTCTTGCCTTTCCCCACTCTGTGCCATCAAACCCTGTCCTCAGTGGAGCTGGGGTGCTGCTCTCCTCCCAGGAAAACCTGATCCTGCTTGTGTCTCAGCCGGGGTGTCAGCAGAACCTCTGTCACCCTGGGTGGAGTGGAGAATGGGAGCTGGGCTGAGTCTGTTTTTGTGCCCAGGGCTCCCTTTCTGGTGTCTCCTGGATGTGATACCTATAAAGAATGAGAAAGGGGAGGTGGCCCTCTTCCTGGTCTCTCACAAGGACATCAGTGACACCAAGAACCGAGGGGGCCCTGACAGCTGGAAGGAGACAGGTGAGTGCCCATGGAACTGCTGATTGGCTGGGGTGTCAGGTGCCTCTTGCTGGTGTGGGGCTGAGGCACCCAGGGGCTTGTGGGTCCACCACCTGTCTTGCACTCATTGACTCCTCCTCTGCTGGCTGAGAGGCTCTCATCTCCACATGCCCAGGAATGGAAAGCGTGTTTCCAAATGGACCCATTGAGACACAGTTGGAGTTTTGAGGTCAACTTCCCTAAGAAACTAAATGCAAACAAACTCCAGTAGGGCCCACTTCCTGACCAATTAGTGAGGCTGAGCACAGACCCGTGTGGTTCCTCTGCCTTGCACAAGCCTGACCAGGGAACCCTGGCCAACGACCCCTGTTAAGTCCCTGGGGTCTTTCCCCCTCATGTATCCTCCAAGGGCTGGGCAAGACCTTGGGCAGCTCACCAAAAGGCTGTCATCAAAAGCTGCTCCAAGGCCTCTTTGCCACTTGGGGATGCTGGGGTTATTCTCCATTCCAAACCCCGCCTCCTCCAGCCCTGGGTCCGTCTCTCCACAATGTAAGTCTTCAGCGGCCCCTGCACCTGGACACTGGGCTCCTTCTCTGAGCTACCTGATGACCTCCTGCTAGCTCTGCATTCCCCCCGCCCTGGGAAGCACCTCGCCGCTCTTCCTGTAGGCCCTTCCCTGTGGAAGCCCTCTCCTGCCTTGCCTTGGTCCAGACTTCTCTCTCTTGGAAGCAGGCACTAGGGGTAGTGTCTGTAAGTCCCATAAGACTGCCTATTGCTGGGGTTAGCTAGGGACCAAATGAAGTGAGGAATGCCAGAGCCCCCCAACTCTAAACAGACTAGTCCAGGAGCCAGACCAGCCCGTGGGCCACGAAGTGGTGTCCTACATGCAAACCCTTCATCCTCATAGGCCCCTCTTCTTTTGCAGGTGGTGGCCGGCGCCGATATGGCCGGACAGGAGCCAAAGGCTTCAATGCCAACCGGCGGCGGAGCCGGGCTGTGCTCTACCACCTGTCTGGGCACCTGCAGAAGCACCCCAAGGGCAAGCACAAGCTCAATAAGGTGGACTGTGCACTAGGGTGTGTTTGGGGGTGGGGTAGGGTATGGGCAGGCTGAGAGATGGAGGAGAACTGAGCCACACCACAGAGAGCATCACCACAGAGAGAAAATCCAGGGGGACACCCAGGCCTCAGCAGCACTTGGGGGGTTGAGACTGAGGGAGGAAATATCACATGCCTGACTCATCAAAGATATAGAAGAGTCTTCGCCCTGGAGTCAGATGGGCCTTGGCTCAATCTTGGCTCCTCCCCTAAGCAGCTGTGTGACCTCAGCTAAGTCACTTGACCTCCCTGATTGTCTGTCTTGATCTATAACATGGGGACCCTAATACCTATGTCAGAGGTTGCTTTATGTCAGAGAATACATGGAGGGAAAGGAGATGAAGGCCTGTCCTGGCCCTATCCAAACTCACCCTGTGCCAATTTCCTGTCCTCCCTGCCTGGACCTGCCCCTCCCCTCTGCCTCAATCAGGGGGTGTTTGGGGAGAAGCCAAACTTGCCCGAGTACAAAGTAGCCGCCATCCGGAAGTCACCCTTCATCCTGCTGCACTGTGGGGCTCTGAGGGCCACTTGGGACGGCTTCATCCTGCTTGCCACCCTCTACGTGGCCGTCACTGTGCCCTACAGTGTGTGTGTGAGCACAGCCCGGGAGCCCAGTGCCGCCCGTGGTCCCCCCAGCGTCTGCGACCTGGCTGTGGAGGTCCTCTTCATTCTCGGTATGTGTTCTCTGTGCCTCCACCACACCCTGTACAGGGCACCCCTTGGGCTTTGATGGGGATAGTCTGCGTAGCTTCCAGGGCCCCACAAATGTTCCCCTGTCCTCTCCCTGTTTGTGACCTGTGGGCTTTGAAATCAGACCTAGATTTCAAACAGGTCTCTGCCATCAGTGTGGTATATGACCCTGAGCCAGTCGTAGCCTCTCCAAGCCTCAGTTTCTTGCTCTAACAAATAGGCATATTGATGCCCACCTTTTAGAGTTGCTGTTGGAGCTAAAATGATGCATGTAGAGAGCCCAGGAGAGCACCAGACACTGAGCAGAATCCAGTAAAGCATGGCTCCCCCAGCAGCCCCATCCCCATACTGACTCCCACTCGGACTTCCTACAGACATCGTGTTGAACTTCCGCACCACATTCGTGTCCAAGTCCGGCCAGGTGGTGTTTGCCCCGAAGTCCATTTGCCTCCACTACGTTACCACCTGGTTCCTCCTGGATGTCATTGCTGCCCTGCCCTTTGACCTGCTGCATGCCTTCAAGGTCAACGTGGTCAGTGTGGCTGGGCTGGGTGGGCTCTGGGGCAGGATAGGTGGGGCTAGCCCTGCGGTGACCCCTTTGCCTCCTCCAATTAGTACTTCGGGGCACACCTGCTGAAGACGGTGCGGCTACTGCGCCTGCTGCGCCTGCTCCCACGTCTGGACCGCTACTCGCAGTACAGCGCTGTGGTGCTCACCCTGCTCATGGCTGTGTTCGCTCTGCTCGCCCACTGGGTGGCCTGCATCTGGTTCTACATCGGCCAGCGGGAGATCGAGAGCAGCGCGTCCGAGCTGCCTGAGATCGGTACTGGAGGCTCTCTGTGTTGGGGTGGGGTGGGTGAGTGTACACATGTGCCAGAGGAATATGTCTGCTCAAGTGTGTGTCTGTCAGGGTATGTTTGTGAGCTGATATGAGGTGTCAGAGGTATGTGTGCAGGTCTGCCTAGGTATGTGTTCCTATGTGTGTATCTGGACGGCATGTGTGCAAGTAGCTGTGCATTTGTGACAAGAATGTGGGGGCTGGTGTGCATGTGTGTGTGTGTGTGTGTGTGTGTGTGTACACAGGTGTGAGTGTGGCAGAGCCAACCCTCGAGGCAGGCCTGCTCTCCAGAGCATTGTGGAGAAAGTCTGGTGGGCTGCCAGGAGGAGGCTTATTGACCCATCATAGCCTCCTCCTGGGCAAGCTTTTGTCTCATTCTTCAAGTCCCTGCTCAGCTGGGAACCCTACCCCTCTCAGAAGAAGGCCCTCCAGGGTCCCTCAGATGCCTGGCACTTTCCTCGCACCTTGGCTCTGGAGGCCCCGTCCCCACTTTGTCCTTTCCAGGCCACATTCTTTCAGCAGCTGCTCAGCCATCTCCCAGCCTCAGCGCAGCCTTTCTCTGCTTTTTCCTGCATTCCGCCAGTGTCTTCACTCTCCTTCACTTCACCTCCATTTCACTGCTTCCCTTTCTACTCGCCTCCCACTCAAGTCTCAACTCCTGCCAGGAAGGGAGCTTCCACACCCACACTCAACCCAAAGTGGTACCTAGCAGACAGGTCACCATGGCCTTCTGGGGCCAAGCCCTCACCCCCTGGAAGTCCCCTGTGGCATCTGACCCTGCCAGCCACACTTCTCTGAAATGCCCCACCTCCCTGCTCTGAGCAGTGAGGAACTGGGGCCTGGCCGCGCCTCCAGCTGCCCAGCCCTCCCGTTCTGGGCTTTCCTCAGCTCTCTTCCCACCTCACCTTGTTCTCCCTTGACAATCCACTGATGCCACTGTGGCTCAGCTGGGGTTTCCCTGTTAAGCTTCCATCCTTAACCTCTTGAACACCAAACCATTCTGTTCCAGCTGTTTCTAACTCTGCACACGTTTCAGCTCCAAAACTGAACCCTCTTCATCCCATGCCCTCCTCCCCTCTGGCAACTTCCCAGTGACTGGCCTTTCGCGCCTGCTTCCAGCCAGTGAGCAAGAGGCCACCTGCTTAGACAGCCTCTCATGACTGTCTACTCCTTGGTGGGGTCACCAGCAGTCCCGGTTGGCCTTAGAAACGTGCTCTGATCAGTTCCTGGGAACAAGGAGGCTCCTCTCTCCCTTGCCAAGCCCACAGAGACTGGTGTGGGGCCCAAAGGCCCACTTGGATATTTCCCAAAGCTCTAGTTGCTGAGCATGGGGAACCAGGATGTTCCATACAGTGTCAGCTCCTTGGCACCTGCCCTTCCCAGAGGGAGGCTGTGGTGCAGGTGGTTCTGGGGTCAGACAGCCACCCAGCAAACATGTCAGGGGGCTGATGGATGGACAGTGATGACCCAAAGTCCAGACCCAAAAGTGGACTGAGACACCAAACCCCCAGCTCAGGGCCCCCACTCCCAAACAGGACGCAGACATCCTGGATCTTGTGTTCCTGTGGCTCCTCTGTCTGGACCATCTCACAGCTGCTGCTAAGCTAACACTGAACAGTACCTTTGGCTCCTAGAGGGGTCTGAGCCCCACCATGAAGAGCACGGGGTATGTGGGCGAGCTGGCTGTTTCAAAGATACACATAGTAATTCTTGCACCTTTGACCCCCTAAGTTCCACAGTGGTTTCGTTCTGTGTGGGGCTGGTACTAGCTCACATTAGGGGAGTTTCCAAGTTCCCTTCACATCATCCTCTCCCACTTCTTTCTCCAGGGAAACTACCCCTCAGCTGGATTTGAGCCACACCCAGACCTCCCGAAGCCCAGCCGGGAAGGGAGGTCCCTGGGGGAGCTCTGGCTGGTGGCAGGCCCCTTCCCTTGACTTCCTTGCCTTGGTTCTGCCGCTCTGCTGCCCATGGTGTCAACAGAGAACTCCTGCCCCAGATTCCCATTAGCCCAGTGGGCATGGATTGTCAAAAGATTGTGCTAAATACTGAGAGAAGTCACTCAGGGCATGTCTCAGTACGAAGGCCACCAGCCTCTAAAACAGTCTCTGCCTCCTGACCCTCCTCACATGGAGGCACTATCCTGCCACCAGCCCAGGTGCTGCCAATGCCCCGCAGCCAAGACTGAGAAAGAGAGGTCCCTCGGCCACCCTCCTCTGTGCTCCTACCTCCAGCTTCTCACCTCCCGTCACCTGGCAATTGGTTTCGTCTTGGGGGCCCAACTAAATAATGACTGGAAAGTTTTACCTGCTCCGTGAAATTCTCACCCCACAACTCAAGTAACAGGATGGTGGATCCTCCCCTTGGCTCAGGCCTTAACACATCCCCTCAGTTCCTCAGCCTGGAATTTGATGTCTCCAGTGCGAACCCCACATTCTAGCCAAGCTGAACTACTTGCCTGTACTTGTTTCCATCTCTCAGTTTGGCCCATTTTGGCCTTTCCTAGATCAGGAATGACTTTCTCTCAGGTTCTCTGTTTCAGAACTCTACCCATCTTCAGAGACAGCACCATGTCCCCTCTTCCAGGAAGCCTTCTAGCCCTAGACCATAATGCGTTGCTTTGAGACCCCTCTTGGCACTTGGGTTCTGTGTACCGCTGAGATGTAGCTCCCACCTCCTGGTTAGCTCGCTCCTGTGGGTCCCACCAGCTCCCGCACATCCTATGCATGAGTTTGCTGAGTGAGGGGGGTGGGGAGGAGGGAGTGGGGATCACAGGGAGCAGCTATAGGGAACTGTGGGGAGGCTGGGGCTGTGAGGTAGGAGGGGCAGAGCGAGGATCCCACTGCATCCTGTGGTCCTGAGGTCCCCTCTGCACTTGCCCTCTGCCCCCAGCTCTGCTGGGGCCTCTGTGGACCCTGGGAACCCCCACCAGCACCCTAGAAGTCCCACAACCCTCCAGCTAGGCTCAGAGAGACTTTGGGTAGCCATGGCTCCTGAGAGACCCCAGAACATGGTCTCACCTCCTGCAAGGCTGGGCCAAAGAATGTGGGGTTGATAAGGAGACTGGGGTGATCTCCAGCCTCTGCCCCAACTCCCAGCCTGACCTGTGTCTGCACGGGCACTCAAAAGTCTCTGTGTGTGCACAGATGGCTGCCTGTCTTCACCTGTGTGCTCATGGCCATACAAGTGGGTCCCCCCTTCTACCCAGGTGTCAACGTCCAGGCACATGCGTGCTCTCATCTCTCTCCCAAGTGTACACAGGCTTTCTTCCATGTGAGTGGCTGTGGCCATGCTCCTGTGAATGTGCTTGCCCGTGTGTGTCCTTGTCATCTCTACTGTGGGGATCACATCTGTGGCCTCAGTGGTATGTATGCACATGTCCACATCAGTGTGCTTGAGAGTATGTGTGTGAGAATGGGTGGTTTGTGAGGTTGTGGGACACAGGGATGAGGCTGAATGGGGGCAGCTTTCTTGAGCTGGTGAGCTCAGAGAAAGAACAAGAGGAGTCTGAGTGGACAGGGCAGAGGAGGTGGCCTCACCCGTCTGGCCCGGGAATGAGGCCACAGCTGGTGCAGTGAGCCCGCCAATCCCTCTGCCCCTCCAGCTGGGCCTGTTTCCTGAGGTTGGTGCCAGCCACAGGGAAGAGGGTACAATGCTCCTTGCTCCATCCTCAGCACCAACAGCTGCTGGATGGGGAGATGACAGCCTGGCCCTCATGTGCTTGTCTTGGTGAGGGTCGAGGGGATGAGTTTAAGGGTGTGCTGGGCTGGCAGAGGAGGAAAGTGGTGGGGATCCTTTGGGGAGGATCTGCATTCACGCGGCCCCCACCCCAGGGTACCACGGACATGCATGCAGCAGAGCAGCCCACTGGCTCAGGCCTATCCTCCCCTCCCCAGGCTGGCTGCAGGAGCTGGCCCGCCGACTGGAAACCCCCTACTACCTGGTGGGCCGGAGCCCAGCTGTAGGGAACAGCTCTGGCCAGAGTGACAACTGTAGCAGCAGCAGCGAGGCCAACAGGACGGGGCTGGAGCTCCTGGGCGGCCCCTCCCTGCGCAGCGCCTACATCACCTCCCTCTACTTCGCACTCAGCAGCCTCACCAGCGTGGGCTTTGGCAATGTGTCTGCCAACACGGACACAGAGAAGATCTTCTCCATCTGCACCATGCTCATTGGCGGTGAGGCCTGCCACTCTGTGTGTCCTGGGGCCCACTTCCAGACTTCCGGCCCCAGGCGGCCCCTACTTCCCACCTTCCCCAGGGGACTGAGATCCTTCCCAGAGGTCCTCTACTTCCAAGGACTCAGAGAACACCAGGCCAGGGCCAGGAGAGCCCACTTGGCTGCAGGTCTCCCTGCCAATAGCGGCTCGTGTGTCTTGCGTAGGGGTGTGTGGGGTGTGTGGGGTGTGTGGGGTCGGGGGAGAGCACGGATGTGTCCAGCACGTGTCTGGTCCTGGAGGTGACCCCCTCTCGCCACCCTCCCCAGCCCTGATGCACGCGGTGGTGTTTGGGAACGTGACGGCCATCATCCAGCGCATGTACGCCCGCCGCTTTCTGTACCACAGCCGCACCCGTGACCTGCGTGACTACATCCGCATCCATCGCATCCCCAAGCCCCTCAAGCAGCGCATGCTCGAGTACTTCCAGGCGACCTGGGCCGTGAACAACGGTATCGACACCACTGAGGTGCGCAGTCCTCCTTGCTGGCCCTGCAGCCTTTGCTCCTTCAAGGAGTGTGCACATGGCCCAAAATTCCCAGGAACACAAGGAGTGCAGAATTCTGGCCTCCTGGCCTCCGCTCTCCTGGGACGACAGCAGCATGAACAGAGGGCAGCCAAGAAGGCTCAGAGGCCCCTCTCCACCTTGGTGAGGGTCTGGAGGCTTTGCTCACTGAGGTCCAATCCTGAGGCCTGAAGAGGAAAGCTGGGCTGCTCATGGGGCAGCTAAAGTAATAGAGAGGGAGGCAGAAACAGCCCTTTCACCCCATGTGGGGCTTAAGGCTATGCAGGAGGCCTCAAGGTCCCTCCCATGCCTCCCTGTGCTCCTGAGGCCACTAGCGTGGGAAGGGGCTGGTTGGAGGCTACCTCCTATTCTGCCATCCCAAATTTCCCCTCCTGCTCCCCTGCAGCTGCTACAGAGCCTCCCGGATGAGCTGCGCGCAGACATTGCCATGCACCTGCACAAGGAGGTCCTGCAGCTGCCCCTGTTTGAGGCAGCGAGCCGTGGCTGCCTGCGGGCGCTGTCCCTGGCCCTGCGGCCTGCCTTCTGCACGCCCGGCGAGTACCTCATCCACCAAGGTGACGCTCTCCAGGCCCTCTACTTTGTCTGCTCCGGCTCCATGGAGGTGCTCAAGGGTGGCACTGTGCTCGCCATCCTAGGTTTGTGAGGTCTGGAGAGAGGGATGGGATGGGTGCTTATGGGAGGCAAGTGGAACCATGGCCTTGTCTGCAGAGAACCCCAAGGCGGGGCATAGGCAAGGCCGTAAGGAGAGAAGCTGGGATGGAGTCAGGAGTAGCCACGGAGCTGGTGGCCACAGGGTGGCAGCACAAGGAGGCGGGAACCATCTCGCAGGTGTTGGAGGCTGGAGTGAAGGCAGGACCTGCCTTTATTCTGAGGAGACGGGGAGCAGCACTTCCTGTCAAGGAGGAAAACTGAATGCTCAGGACGAAGTGCTGGAGAGAGTGCTCAGGCAGGGCCGGAAAGGGAGGAATGAAAGCCATCCTCTGGGGCCTGGCCACTGGCACATGGACCTTCTGGCAGGTTACAGAGCAGGCCCAGAGCTGCGATGGGTGACAGCAGGGCGCCGACACAGCATGCAGACTTCCCTTCTTGGCAACAGAAAAAAGCGCAGATGAGGGACCAGTCCCCATACAAGGAAGGAGGCTGCAGCTGTGGAAAAGCATCACGCTAGTGCTGACCCCAGGGCTCCCGCAGCCAGGTCAGCCCTGGGCCCTGCCCTTTCTGTGCTTCCTCCCACACACCTCACAAAACCCATGAGGAGTAACTAGTGCTACTCCCGTTTGCATAGAGGGAGATTGAGGCTTGGAGAGGTTAATGAATTAGCAGGCTGGGGTTAGAACCTAGTCTACCTGCCTCCAAACCTCAGGTTGCTCCCACTGTGTTCTCGGGAGACTCGAGTCCCACAGGAAGGGCACGATTTCAGGGTGGTTGGAGGCACATCTGAGTGCTTTGGGAAACCCGGGGCTCTGCAGCTTGGGGGCTGGGAGCGGCTCTCTGTGGTGACCCTTGAGGGTCGGGCCACGGATCTGCATGGGTAGTGGAGGGCCCCACAAACGGGATGCAAGGCAGGTGGTGCCCCAAGCACAGCTGAATCCTCAGGCAGCCAAGTGCTTGTAGGCTCACCTTGGGGACAGCTGATATCCAGAAGGGCTGAGGTCTGTCACTAACCTGCAGAACCAGGAAGACCAGATGCCCAGCAGCTAATGTGTGGCCATCCTTTTGCCCTTGAGGAGGATGATCCTCCAATAGGAAACAAGAAAGAAATGCCATCAAAGGGGTTTTGGAGCCAAGAGAGAGGCAAGAGGCTGCTACTGTCTGCTTTGCATCTTTCATAAGTTTGACTCCTGGACCTTGATGCAGTTTATGCCAGGACTTTGAGCAAATGGGGTTATGGCCACTTACATATGGCTTGCAGTTCTTAAGAAATTATAGAGAACTGGAGAGATTCAGAGGGGCAAAAAGATTTTAACAAATGTGGACTGGTCACTCCAAAGCAAGATTACCAAGTAGATTACAGACAGATGGGTTTCAGCTGAGCCTGGGAAGCAGCATAGCTGGGAGCTGGCTTGAGCATTGCAAGATCATCTCTTCCCTGATGCCAGGCACCAGGTCTCAGAATAGCCACACTCAGTATTAAGACGGAGCTGCAAGAATGGCCACTGTCGGCACCCCAGTGCCAGGACCTATGCCACCTTTGAGCCATCCTGTCCCTGTGTGTTCTGGATGAACTGCTTTCTCTGTTCACCTGGGGGCCTGGATGCCCCAATGAATGACTGGTTCCCCATGACCTGGTTTTCTGCTTTGCCTTCACCCCATCCTCCACCTGCCTCCTTAGTAGAACATCCAGGTGCTTCCTGCCTGCTCCTGGCAGCTAAAGCTCACCGCTCAGCTAGCATTGTCGATTCCTGTGTGTATCTCTAGTGCCCCTAGCTGTGTGTATGAACTAGCAGCTAAGTTTGTGCAAAGCCAATCGTCTGGGAGGAAGGAGGCAAGACAAAGAGGTGGGCTGGGCAACAGTGCCAGGAGGACCTTTCGGGGCTTGCTGAGCTAAGCTGGAGGCTCTGGCTGAGACACTGGCCTGGAGGGCAGTCTGGGCCTGAGAACAGTGGCATGAAACTCTGTCCTTGGTACAGTCCTGCTTCTTTGTCTTTACTTTACCTCTTGGATGAAGACAAGAAATACACACGTACCCCATTTCCAGATGACACACATGAAGAGAGAGCTCATTCATCTGGTGAGCACACTGAGATCCAAACATAAAGAACCAGAAGGATGGTCTAAAACCAAGAGAACAATATTTAACAGAGACACATTCTACTTCAGTTAGAGCAAAAGTCTATGAACACTTAGAGGAGGGTTTCAGCTCTGTGAGACCTGCTGCCAGAGCGAGGCAGCCTGGGCGGTGGGTGGTAGCCACCCATCTCTTTCCTTGAGGATAAGGAGTCGCTTTTGAATCTTGTGAACTGTCTTGCAGTGGGGTGAGCTGCCTTGTAGGGCAGTGATTGCTCTGCCCAAGCCCTGATGGGCTGCCATCCCTGTTGGGAATGATCTGTAGGGGATTCTTGTCTGGAGGGAAAAGAAGGAAATGAACTTTGGTTGGTCGTCTATGTGTCAGGTGCTCTATCTACACTAACTCATGTAATCCTCACCATGTCTCTGATCAGAGGCATCCTACTTCATTGATTTTATGAAATACATTTCCCCCCACAATTTAACATCTCAGAAGATTGGGACGTGTACTCTAATTGATGCCACTTTACAATCGCTGTGAGCCAGGTGGCAGTCTCAGCTGGGTGGTGGGAAAACGCACCATTGACCCCTCCTGGTAAGATCAAGAAAACATCAGACTCGGTTCAACACAGGATTCTCCTGTAGAGGCACCAGAGCTCAGGGGGATGAAGTGATGTGGCTGCCTGACATTTCCACTGCCACATGGGGCACTCACCTACTGGTCCCACACTGGTCCCTGGACAAGTGCCACCCGAATCCCTGTGGGGCAGGGAAAACAGACTGTAGGGTCTCCAGTAGATATGATTCTGTAGATAGGGATGGGGCCTTGGGGTCTGAATGGTTTAACTTTCCCAGGGGATTCTGATCCATAGAGAGGCTAGGAACCACTACAACTGGTGACTGACTAGTTGTCTCAGAGCTAAAATTCAGATATGTTTCAGCACAGTGGCTTTGATGCCAAGTGTGCTGGAGCACCTGAGTCACAGTGCTCTTCACCCCAAGCCTGTCTAGGAGCCAGTGAGTTAGGCAGCAGGGGTCAGCCAGGGTCCGGGCACCTCAGCTCCTCTTTGTGTAGTAGGAGCTTGCTGGAAAGGCCCCATCTGCCCATGAGGGAAGCCCAGCACCTCCGTTCTGCTCCTCTTCCCAATGGCTGAGCCCACTGACCTCTGTTTCCTCTCCCCAGGGAAGGGTGATCTGATTGGCTGTGAGCTGCCCAGGCGTGAGCAGGTAGTCAAGGCCAATGCGGATGTGAAGGGGCTGACCTACTGTGTCCTGCAGTGTCTGCAGCTGGCCGGGCTGCATGAGAGCCTGGCGCTGTACCCTGAGTTTGCCCCACGCTTCAGCCGGGGCCTCAGAGGGGAGCTCAGCTATAACCTGGGTGCTGGCGGAGGCCCCACGGAGGTGAGGGCACTGGGTACGTGCATGGAGGGGCTGGGGTTGCAGGTAGCCTACTGACATGGGCAGAGGCTGGGGGTGGCAGAGGTGCTGTGTGAGTGCATGGCCTGATGTAGACGGCCCTGCACATGGCGGAGATGGATTGGGGGTGGCATGTTGGTGTCTACACACTCCCTGCCCCTTCACACCCACACACTGTCCTTTAGAGCCCAGCCCAGCCCAGCAGTGTTCAGCCACCCCTCCCGGCTCTCCCTGGCCCATCTGAGACAGCTTGGCCTGGTCCGCAGCAGTCTTGGGAGGGAAGCTGAGTTCCCTGGTACCAGACAAGCAGTGTATAAGCCACAGATGAGGATGCACCTTCGGGGCAGGGCCAGGCAGGGCCATTCACTGCCCCTCCAGGCTGCCTTTGAGGGCGTTCTGCAGCTCCTCCTGGTCTTCACAGTGAAGCAGGACTGCTCTGAGGGGCTTTTGAATTTCCTGACCAGTTCTTGATATTGCATCCTCTTGGATAGTCAGTTAGCCTGAGGGGCCAGCAGAGGGGTGGTGTGCCCACACCGGGCTAGAATTCTGATGGGCAGCAGATGCCTCCATGGCTTTTGTGGCTTTGTGGTGGCAGCAGAAAAGCAGCCCTTCCCTGCCCTGCCCCCAGCGTCTTCCTCTGCAGGGTGGGAGACACTGGGCAGGCAGCCTTTTTCACAGAGACGGCTCCTCCCTTCCAGGGAGATGAGGCTGGGATGAAGGAGGTGAGTGGAGCACAGTATGGGGCTATTCATGCTGCTGCCCTTTTCCCCACTGTGCCCAGGTGGACACCAGCTCCCTGAGTGGTGACAACACCCTCATGTCCACGCTGGAGGAAAAGGAGACAGACGGGGAGCAGGGGCCCACAGCGTCACCAGCCCCAGCTGACGAGCCCTCCAGTCCCCTCCTATCCCCGGGATGTACCTCCTCTTCCTCAGCTGCCAAGCTGCTATCCCCACGTCGAACTGCGCCCCGGCCCCGGCTAGGTGGCAGAGGGCGGCCGGGCCGGGCAGGTGCTTCGCAGGCTGAGGCTGGCCCCTCTGCTCACCCTCGGAGCTTAGAGGGGCTGCGGCTGCCCCCCATGCCATGGAATGTGCCCCCAGATCTGAGCCCCAGGTGAGTGGGCACTGGCCTAGATGATGATAAGGCTGGGGTTCCAGCCAGCCACACCTCCACCCAGGTTGTGCATCCTTCCATCTTAACCCCTCCCAGCCTCCTCCAGGGAGCCTCTGACTCCACCTCCCTGCTGCCCCAGCCCCACCATTTGGTTCATGACTCAGAACTCTCCTGCTGTTCACATCACTCAAGCTTGGATGCCCAGAGAAACTGCAAGCTCCTTGGGGAAAGGACCACATGTTACCTATCTCTTGGGGCTGCAGCCCCTTGGCTCAGCTCCAGGCTCCTTCAGCCTGTGTGGACATCGGGGCATCTTGCCCCATGATGCACTGCAGCAGCTGCAGGTCAACTAATTTGTTGTCCTGGCACCTGCATTCACAGGGTAGTAGATGGCATTGAGGATGGCTGTGGCTCTGACCAGCACAAGTTCTCTTTCCACGTGGGACAGTCTGGCCCAGAATGTAGCAGCAGCCCATCCCCTGGACCAGGTACTGGGCCTAGGGCCGGGGGGAGTTTGGCAGGGCAACCCCTTTACCCTGTGAATGAACTTCTGGGTAATGAGCAGTGAATTCACCTGGAAGCCCTCTACGCCTCACCCACTTGCTCGGGTTGGGCAGGCGAGTGAAGATCAGAACCTTGGTGTTGGAAAATAGCTGGGAACAGGGTTTGGATCTCTGTCATCCCTCTAGCAGGGTGACCTTGGTTCTTACTTCCACTTCCCATCTGTAGGCCGGTTGTGCATGTTTAATAGTGTCTGACTCACTGTGGGGATAGGGGGCTGGGGAAGCAGAGTTCAAAGTGGCCATTGGCCAGGCCAGGCAGACCTGGGACTGGACCAAGTAATAAACTCTCAGGAGTGTCCATGTGCCTGGAGGACAGAAGAAACAGGCAGACAGCAGCCTACTGAGGGGATGGTGTAGGGCAGTGTGTCTCAAGGGCCCTGGCAGTCTGGGCAGTACTCAGCAACGTGGGCAAGGCTGGAGTGGCTGTTCTTGTACCTGGCCTTGCCAAGCCAATGTGGTCTGTACTAACGGGCAGAAGCCTGGGCCCCATGGTGTCTTCTCTTCCTACTGTCCATAGAGAATGGCCTGCTTACTGTCCCCCTTGGGCCCAGCGAAGCAAAGAACACAGACACGCTGGACAAGCTTCAGCAGGCGGTGGGTGAGGGGCAAGGTGGAGGCAGGGAGGGGAGAAGGGCAGGCACTGCTGTGTTTGAGACTGCTGGCCCTCCCCCTCCTCCTCCCCCACAGGTGATGGAACTGTCTGAGCAGGTGCTGCAGATGCGGGAAGGCCTACAGTCGCTCCGCCAGGCCTTGCAGCTTGTCCTGGCACCCCATGGGGAGGGCCTATGCCCAGCCAGTACCTCTGGACTCCTGCAGCCTCTGTGTGTGGACACTGGGGTCTCCCCCTACTTCCTGCAACCCCCAGCTGGCACTGTCTTGAGTGGGACCTGGCCCCACCCTCGTCCAGGGCCCCCTCCCCTAGTGGCACCCTGGCCCTGGGGCCCCCCAGCATCTCAGAGCTCCCCATGGCCTCGAGCCACAGCTTTCTGGACCTCCACCTCTGACTCAGAGGCCCCTGGCTCAGGAGAACTCTGCCCCAAACCCAGCACCCCTGGCTCACCGCCCCCTGAGGCCGCAGCTAGGACTGGGCCCCCAGAGGCTGTGAACCAGGCTGAGGCAGCCAGCACCGGAGAACCCCCACCAGGGTCAGGGGGCCTGGCCCTGCCCTGGGAATCCCACAGCCTGGAGATGGTGCTAATTGGCTGTCATGGCTCTGGCACAGTCCAGTGGACCCAGGAAGAAGGCACAGGGGTCTGACTGCTGGCTCCAGAATTCAAGTGTTGCCAGACATGCTGTTCTGTCCAGCCTCAGGGTGGAGGAAGGCCAGTGGTCAGCCCGATCTGGGACTCTGCAGCCCGTAGGCCCAGAGCAGGGAACCTGAGGGAAGGAGAGGCCTTCTCCAGGACTTGCCTCAGGGGCAGGCATCAGGCTGGGAATCTTTGGGTCTCTCCTACTGGGGCCCCTTCTCAGCCTGCAGCTCTGACCTGTCTCCCTCTGCAGCCTGAGGCCAAGAAGGGGTTCTGCTATTCCCTGCATGTGCCCCTGCCTCACCCTGTCCCATTTTTTATATTAAAAGAAAATAATAATAAAAGGAACTACTTTGGAACTCGGTGCTTTTTATTTACAAAGAAAAAATAAAGGAAAAGTCTGAAGCTTATCAGCTGCAGACACGGGTGAAGGTAGGACTCTGAGGGAAGTGGGTAAGGTGGTCTGCAAAGAGAGGAGAAGGAAGAGGCTCTGGCTCTAAGGAAGCCCACGGGTCCCAGCCTCTAAAGCCTTCCCTAGAGGCAGCCCCACCCTCCTACAGAGGCTCAGATCAACAGTCCAGCAGCCAAATCTCCCACTGGCCACTGGTTTTTCCAGGAATTTGAGTTCCCAGCTCCAGAGGGCTGGAATGGCAGGAGAAACTGAGGCCAGAAAGAGCCCAAGGGTCCTGCCACCACTCCTCACTGTGGTGTGATCTTGGCAGCCTCAGCCCGAATAAGGGCAATGAGGTCCTGGTTGATGAGGAAGACAAATCGCAGGCTGGCAATCTGGGTGGGAAAGAAAGATGCCTGAGCACAGAAATGAGACTGGGGGCCAGGCCGCATAACTGGCTCACCATGGGTCTCATCCTGGCCTCTCCATTTGCCCGCAGCTCACCTCCACCACAGAGTTATTGCTGAGGCGCCATTTGGAGCCACAAAGCACAGGACGCCCGTCAATGTAGATGGGCCGCCGGCCCTCATTGGCAATGAAGAAATCACCATTGTTTTTCAGCTTGATGACACCTATGGGAACAGAGAGGAAAAGGGGGATGATGGGATAGCAGAAGGCCAGAAGAGGGCTTGAAGCTCCCACGTACCCTCTGCTTCCTAGGGACAGGACAGAAGGCACCTAGAATGTCCAAGTTAGCGATCTTGAATTGCCAGCTCTTCAGCCCCAGCCAGTCCACAAAGGTTCCCCGTGGAGACAAGCATCAGGATGGGGGGCAGCAAGAGGCCCTGAGGGCCATCCCCACACTGCTTCCCACAGGTACCTTGCTTCCGGGAGATCTTCCAGGCTGGACCCTCCAGAGACAGGTCCACATCAATCTGGTTGTCCTTGGTTGCTCTGCCCAGGGTGATCTGGCGAAATCAGACAGGTGAGGGCTGGGAACTGAGGAAGTGGGGAGGGGGTCCACACAGGCCAAGGAAAGATGAGACATCAGGGACCAGACACAGAAAGGGCAGTGTGGGGAAGACGGATGGAGAGAAACCTAGGAAGGCAGGACGAAGATGGGCTGCATGGCCTCACCTCTCGCGAGCGCATCAGGTACCGCACCATGCGTCCCCGTAACACGGCCAGCGTCTGGTTGTCAAAGTCTGGAGAGCTCATGCCTGTGGAGGGGCAGGTCATGTCAGGGAAGAGCCCACCCCTCGGGACCACAGTGCTGAAGTCAGACTGGGAGATGGGGTGTGCCCAGGGTGTGCGAAGACTGTTGAGCCAGGACCCTCCTGCACCCCTGGCCTCCTCACCTGTGATGCTGTCTACTAGCACCTGCCACTTATGAAGCTCCTGTTCCAGCTGCCGAATCTCTCGTTTCTGGCGCCGGTCTGCCACTGTGAGCTCTGAAGTCAAGGGGGTGGTAAGGATGGGGCGCTCCAAGGTCACCAGCACCTTGTACTGGTCTTTTCTATTCCAGCAGGGGCTCCCACCCCCTCACTGTCCTTCACAGGGCACACTCACCATGTTCGAGGACCTCATCTCGCATGTCCCTGGGGAGAGGGAAGGATGAGTCAGGCTCCACTTCCAGCTCACCTGTCATCCCCATTGGGGGCTGCTTGACTCATGAGGGCATCCCTGAGGCCAAGTGGCCCAGTGGGCTGTACCTCTGGCCTAGGCCTAGCCTCTTTCCCTGGGGTTGTGGTGGGGGGTTGGGAAGTCACAACTGGGGGCAGGGCAGGGGCTCAGCAGGGAGACCAGGCACAAAAGCTGCTTCCAAGCCTGAGGTTTGGTGTGGGCTGGGCTGGGCTGAGTTCTGCAGCAGGAGAGGTGGGGCTGGGCAGCCCAGAGAGCTCTACCCCAGGGAGATACTCAGCTCTCTGCCCTGTGGCCCTGGCCACTCACTTGAGCTTACTGTCATCAATCAGGTCCTCTGCGTCAGAGAAGTTCAGCACTTGGTCCCCCTTGGGCAGCGGCTGCACTGAACAAAGGACAGAGGGGGTTAGTGCCGATGTTCCTGGTCAACTCTAAGCTGCTGAGCAGACGGCTGGCTAAGGGAACAGGGCTGTGCCCGTAGCAAGTTCCATGCAGAAATCGGCATGTTAGCCCAACGCAGGTTACTGGAGTACATGCCAGATTAGGTTGCACATGAATACGGCACAAAGCATCGGTGGGGCTAGCCTGGGCAGAGGCAGCTCTAGAAAGGGAAGGGAATTAAAGCTGACCTTCTGCGTGGGCTCTGCAGTGTGCGAAGGGTTCTCACTTATATAGGCTTGAACTAGGCAGGGAAGGCACTACTGTTGGCTCCACTTTACAGGTGAGGAAACAGATACAGGAGGGCAGGTTCAGCTATGTGACTTGAGTCTAGGACAGGGCCAGGATGTAAGCCCTGCTTTCCTGATTCCAAATCCCAAATGTGCCTTCTATCACATCATATGCTCCCAAGAATTTTCTGCCACTTAGGTGAGGGGCTGACAGGCACACACATCAAGTCCTACTTAGGATGCGCAGGAAGGGAGCTGCCGCCCTGCCTTAAACCAGTGTTTCTTAAACTGTGGGTCATGATGTGTTAGTGGGTCATCAAGTTAGTTTCATTTTTTCCAGAAAAATGAAATGGAATAAGAGGTTAATTATCAGAGCCCTTTAGATGCATTCAGGATAAATACTGTTTAATCAAAGTTTCTTTTTTTTCCTGGTCAAAACGTAAAGGGACTGGAGCCCCAAGACTCTGAGAACTTCTACCTTCAGGACAGCTATTCCGAGGCCTGCAGTGCCTGCTCAGCAGCAGCCTCCACTAGCCAGTGGCCATGAACTGTCAGGTGAGGAGCTGACCTGGGAGTTGGCTGTCACGGCCTGCCAGGGAAGCAAGGGGGCTGCATGGGAGCCACAAATTCTCCACTGCCACCAACTCCGCCTCCTCAGGACAGACTGTGTTGGGAGACAGGGGACTGAGGCGGTCACCCCATCAAACCCCTCGCCCCACCGCAGCTGCCTGAAATCCCACCAACCTGATGTTCTACTGCCTTCATAGCTAAGCTGTGTATGCTCCCTATTCCTAGGGACTCCCAACACTAAACAGCAAATGAGAGATAAAATACCTACATAAGAAGACTCTTGAGAAAAACTAATCCTATAAATCAATGTTTATACAAAATAACTTTCAAAGTAGTGACAAAGGAGTTAGCTATGGCAGCAAAAACAAACTTTATCCAGTGTCCATTCTCTGTGGGAATTCAGTGATAGAACCTAAGGAAGAAGCAGAGATTTGGAAGCTGCGAGATTAAAGAGGGCTGCCCACTGGAAGCTAAATTCAGAGATCCTTAGAAAGGACAGATGAGGCTGCTCCCTGACAAAAGTCCCTAAAATTCTCTTGTAGGAATATATTTTAATGACCAGAAGCTGCAGGACCTAGAGAGTAAAGTAAAGGGCATAGCCAAAGCTTTGTTTTCAGAAGAGTGTGAACAACGACACAGAAGGCAACAGGCAGTACTAGTCAGGAGTACGTGCAGAGTGTGCTTATGCCTTGAAGTCTGACTCTGAATCCCAAATGCAACTGACAAGTTTCCTGCAATTTAATCAGACTGCTTCCTAATATTTGTCATTAGGACAGTCAGAGTTTTGTTGGTGAGGAAAGGGAGGAAGCATAGAACATTCTGGCCCCTGGGAGAGAAAGACACATGGATGAGGTGTCAAGTCCCAGTGGAGACTTCCAAACCTCCCAAAGGCAGCTAGACAGCACCCACAGCTGGGTGGGAGGAGCAGGATGAGGAGGAGCATGGAGAGAGGGAAGGGGCAGAAAGGCTTTAAAAAAGTGGTCATTATCTACAGGGTGGGAAACAGGGAGGGGTGAACAGTAAAGGGGACTTTACACATTTGTCTCACATTTGAGTATTACTGATGAATATGTTAATGTGTTATGTAATAGTAAAAATAGATCACACACACACAAAAAAAACCAAGATGTAGGGGACAACTCTGCCATTTAGACTTTTAGCTTAAGCTTCCAGGCACTTGGCTGGCCTTCACCATGATGCTGAAGACCATTCCAGCCACCTTCCCTCCCTCTGGAAGGAAGGGGTTTTGCTGCAGAGAGAGGTGAATGAGACACTGGGGACTCTGAGGGGTTGGTTATAGGGCAATTGGGGACAGCTGTGTCCAAAGCACTTCACACTCACTTGCACGCACACCCACTCTGCCAGCTCCTGGGCCAGTTACCTGTCTGGTCCTCCAGCAGGTAATACTGCTTCATGAGCTGCCAGTGGGCCTGCAGAGCCTTGGCAGTGCGGGCCAAGTAGAAGGCATCGGGGTGTCTGTGCAGCAGGTCCTGGAAAGTCTCCAAGGTGGGCTGGCTGGTCTGGAGGGCAGAAAACACACTCTAGGCATCTGGGTTTTCACATTCCCACCTCTGCTTCCCATCCCTGTCCCCTGCTCCAGTCCCAACCAGGAGCTGGAAGAAGCAAGAGCTACAGCCACCCAGGGAGCCGAGCTTGGCTCTTCCTGAGGACCCTGTCTACCCTGCAGATGGTGGGGCCTCCCCACATCCATAGTTTCCCAGGTGGCCCACCTCCCACACTGCCCTGCCCATCAACCACCAACCCTTAGCCTCACCGATCCCACTTTGCTTAGCAGCTGCTCCTCAGCCTTGCTAAACAGTGCCTTGCTCTGGATGGCAGCAATGGCTTCTGGGTGCAGCTGTCTCATGGCCTGGCAGGCCAGCCTACACAGAGGTCAGAGTAGGGATGGAGGGAGGGTGTCAAGCAATCCGGGTTCCTACTTCCCCAAACCCTGCAGAACTTCTGAGATCCACAACTAAGGCCAGGCCCTCACCCAGAAAAGCCCAAGGCATTGGCATAGCACCTGTGGTCTTAGGGGTTTGCTGAAAGTGGGAACAGGCAACTCAGGAAGCAGGTTACTGTGTTCAGCCCAGTGGAAAGACTCAAAGGCGCAGTCCCCTAGAGGCCAGTCCTGTGGGAGATCCTGAGACCAGCTGCTGCCACCTTCCTCCTTACTCAGCCAAAGCTGCCACCCACTGGCCACCGTCCCCCATCTCCTCTTTCCCAAGCTAAGCCCTGCCCATGTCTTGGCATAGCACTGCTGTGGCTAAGGCTCATGCTGTGCCAGGTGCTGTGGAGTGGAAGATGGGTGTGAGGCCTCCAGCCACCTTGGACGATGTTAAATGAAGTGCCCGAGGAGGAAGAGTGTATATTGAGTAAGTACATGGGTTTATCTGGTACTCAGATTACTGCAGTTGGAAGGGGCCTTGGATTTTGTTCCAACTCCTTATGGAGGAAGAAACTATGGGAGGTCAGTGTGGGAGGGGTGGGAGGTGACCTGTCCCAAACTACAATGTACAGAGTGGTAGAACCAGGGCTCCTGGCAATTGTTCGTGGGTTTTCTCCCAAGCTATCTTCTCAGCTTCCAGATCTCCTTGTTTCTTGTGTTAAGCCAGGACTAGCAGAGTTGGCAGCAGGAGGTAGCTTCCCTCTGAAGCCTGGCAAGGTCTCAGTTTCACCCCAGAGGTTGCAAGGCCACAGAAGCCCTGCCTCTTAGGCCCCTCCCACAATTCTCTCTGTTCCAGGAGCCAAATTCTGGTGTCCCCAATACCTCCCCACTGCTGGAGCCAGCCCCACTCACTTGGAGATGACAGGATCGTAGAGCAGGGCATACCAGCGCTCCTGGACCTCCCGAAGGGTGAAGCGGCAGCTGAACTTCACACCCAGGTGGACAGATGTCAGGTCGTTGGTCTGCAAGACCCCAGAGCAGTTTGCTCCAGCCTCAGAGCTGGGAAGAACCCTTCCCTTACCACCCACTGGTGCTGCAGGGGGAGTGGGGGGAGGGCGAGGCTGGGAACTAGAGGCTTGTGGGAGAAGGGAGACATGAAACCTGAGGTGGGAAATGCACTACCTGCAGCACAGCGTTGATGAGCAAGAGGTCATCCGCAGGCTTCCAGCGACCTAGATCCTTGGTCACCTGAAGTGGCTGTTTGCTCTTCTTCACACGTTTGGTGAGTCCAGGGGCAGGGGCTGGGCTGGGCGGCACAGGAGTGCTCGGTGCTTTGGACACCTGGGCAGAGGCCGGGAACAGAGTGAGTTCAAAGCTGGGCAGCTGGGGCTTTGGGCCTAGAGCTTCAGGTACCATGTGGTAGCATCAGCCCAACACAGTCCAGCTTTCCAATACTCACCCTCCCCACTCCCACCCCCACCAAGGCATTCCTCCATAATCCCTGAGCATATGGGGTCTTCTCCTGCTGGTGGCACCCCCTACCCCAGAGTGGAGAGTGGGTGGGGAGGGTACCAGGAAAACACTCTTGCTGGTACAGTGTCTGGGGCCAGAGCAATGCCACCTGGGGGTTATTTTTACACTCAGAAATGCTGAGAACAGGCTGTCTGCTCCCAGAATAGATGCACGCTCCATGCCTCCCACACAGAATGTGATACAGGATGCAATGACAGGGTGGGGGGAGCTCAGCAAGAAAGAGGGAATAGGGAGAGATGGGCTCCCAGGAGGGAGGCATCTGAGGTTGGGGCTGGGACAGCTTGATCCTCTCACAAGCCTCCTCTTCAGGGCTCTTGCCAGCTGGCAAAGGTTGTGGGGAAACACAAAATCTGGCGCTGTCCCCCACCTCCCCATCTCCCAATCCCTCACCTTCTTCTTCTCACTGGAAGAGGGTTCACTCCCTGAGCAGCGCCCTGGTTCCACCCCACTGGCCCCCTTCGCCCGGGTAGTGGACTTAGCCAGGCTGCTCTCCACCAGCTCATCATCAAACTTCTTCCTCTTGATGAACCTGTGGAGAGTCCTGCCCAGTGAGCACTCCTTGCCTCCTCTCCAGTACCCACTCACACACACCCAGCCCCCCAAACTGAGCAGGGTCTCAGCAGGGTGCTAAATGCTCTGGCTCAGTGCATGGGGCATGCACTGGCTATGCTCCACCCCGCTGAGATAACAGGGCATTGCACCATAAGGATTTCTGATCAAAGACTTAGGATCTCCCTCCTTTGCCCTCATCCCACAGGGAGGGACAGGAAAAGCACAGGCTTTGCCAGTGCTCAGGCGCTAGTGGGGCACAGGCATGCAGCACTGAATGCCCTCACCCAGTCCCTGGCCCTCCAAACTCTTACTACCTGGAGGAGCTTCTCCGTTTAGGGATAGTGCCCAAGGCCTGGGAGGAGGTCCGCTTCTGCCCTGCCAGTGACTCCTCATCCTCTGAGCGGCTGGCAGTGCCTGATGCCATCAGGGATGAATCTAGCAGCCCCTGAGAATCTAGAAAAAGAGAAGTGGTAAACTCAGGCCTCCGAAGTGCCCAGCAGAACCTTGAACCTCTGCACAAGGGACCCCTCTTCAGCTCCTCCTTCCCCTGACAGCCCTCCTGGTCCCTCCCCTGCTTCCTTGACTCTTGAGGTTTTAAGGTGGGAGTTCCTTGGTCATCCAGATCCCTTCTGGGCTCAGACCTGGCCCAGACCTTCCACGCTGGGCAGTTCTCCCGGTGCCACGTGTCATGTCGTGCAGCACATGGTGCTCAGGTCAGACTGGTGATGCCGACACACCGGGCTCTAGGCATAACTGCTCCCTCTGCCATCAAAATGCAGCCATGCCAAAGAGCGGCAGCTCAACAGCAAGTCAGTCAATTGTGGCCTCTGCCGAGAGGTACGTGGGTAGTGCTGGCCCAGGGGGAGGTGGCAATGCCCAGCCAGGATGGAAAGACACACGTGCCAGGCACAGGGTGGAATCAGCTGATGCTTGGCGCCCGAGCATTTGGGGAGCTGGCCCGGCCTCATACTACCTTTGTCCATTCTCTTACAGTCCCAAAGCCACTGGTTCCAAACCACAGGGCTAGGAGGAAGGTTCCCACAGGCTCATCCAAGGAATCTGACCATGTGAGTTTAGAGGCCGAGAGAAGATTCTGCAAAGGAAAAATGAGGCTCCCTGCGTCAGGTTTCCAACTGGCCAATCTCCTTACACTGAACAGGTTCCCCAGGATCCCATAAGCTAGGCAAGACACAAGAAGGAAAGACACAAAGCTCTATTCTGCCAATATGGCCCTGATAAAATCAGTAGCCTTTTGAAGGTCACTGACATCTTTGAGAATATAATAAAAGCTATGGACTCCAGAAAAATGTACAAACACATACCATTTTAGGGAGTTCAAGGGACACCATAACTACTCATAACCTTTAGGTTAAAGGCCTTGACTATAAACTAACCAGTAACAAGTGATTCTTGGCTCACTTTTCCTTTTCATCAGCTGCCCTCGATCAGTAGCAACACCCTTCCCCTCTCAGGCCAATGCAGGGAAAAGGAAGGGGAGCTAGAACTCCAACCAGTCCTTTTTTTTTCCATTTGCAGCTTTAGTTGAAGATTTAATGGGGGAATACATTGTGGAAGCTAAAAAATGCGGCTCAGAAACTGAGCGAATTATCAGCCGCCCTGGGGGACCCGCTCCTAACCCCGGGAGAACACAGGTAACAGGGACTCGGGAGTGCTCCGCTTCAGGGTTCTGCCCCCTCAGAATAGGGCGGCTCTCTGCGCTTTCCGCGCCGCGGGACTGGATAGGGCTGGAAAGAGGATGAAGGGCCCGATTCCGCGGGCTGACTGAGGTAGGGCCTGCGACCCCTTCGCTCCGCGCCCCTCGTCCTCCCCCGAGTGCACACCCAAGGTGAGGGATTAGTCCAGGCATGTTTCAGGGGCTCGTAATAGGAGTGGTGACGAAGTCAGCCCTGAAACTCAAAAGCAAAGCACCAGGTGAACCCCCGATGCTCCCGCAACCTTGGTTTATCCCCACGTGCTGGTGGCGGGCGACAGGGAGTCAACTTCCAATTCTCACCGGCTCTTGGGCGTGCCACCTTTGCGCATGCGTAACATCTCGGACCATCTCCTAGTCCGGTCCGGCCCACGCATGCGCAGATTTTCGGGGCGCTACCGGGGCGGGGCCCCAAATCTTGTGGGGGGTCGTTCCGGGCACCACTCTGAGAAACTCCATTTCACCCCCAACTCTGCTCAGAACCTTCAGAGGCGAACCGCGAGGTCTCACCATTCCTGGGCTGCCAGCTCCAACAATTCCTCCGCGGCGACGGCAGCAGCCGCAGGGCCAAAGCCGGCTTCCGTGAGGTACGTCTACTTCCGGGTCTAAGAACAAGGGGCTGCGCAATCTCTTCCGGTTCTCTCCGGCAACGTGTAGAGGGGGCGTGGCCATGGCTGTGCCTGTGTTACCGTTTAGATAATATCCCGAATTAAAGGCTCTCCCATTGTGAACAACGTATAGGAAAACATCAGCGCTTATAGGAAACCAGGGAGTTGCCCCGGTTGAATGGCGTGATTAAAGGGAAAGGAGAAGACTTGGGGTGGGATTAACTGAAGGGCAAGACCGAGCGGGGCGAGGCGAGGTGACTCGGAGGGGCGGGCTCGAGGGTGGCGCCCTACCGCTGACTCTATTTTGACTTCCAAATTACCGGTGACACAGGAGGCTTTCATAGTTTCCCAAGACCAGTATTGCATTTGTCGATGCAAAATTCACTTAAGTCACCTTGAAATAAAGATGGAATTTTATTTGAGCCTGGCTGAGAATTTATAATCCTGAAGCATTAACTCCTATGAATGGGAGAAATGTTTCAAGGGGTCCAAGTCATACAAAGGTTTTCCTGTCCTTGGGGAGATAGGCAAGAAAGAATTTCAAAAGGGGGGTACATCTATTTACATAAAATCTGCAATGCTTAAAAGGATTGGAGTTAATACACATCTTGGCACCAAAGGGTCATTAAGGGAAAAGGCAAACCAGGAGGATATCCAAACAGCAAAGGAGAACAGATGTGCTGATACATACTTTGTTTAGCTTTTAACGTGGTTTTAATTAATGACATTATAGAGTTAGAAAGTTTTTAGTTTTCAAGGGTAGCCATTTGAGACACCCAGAGTTAATGAAACTTTCAATACTTAGGCCTTGGAAATCTTTTTGCTGGTCACAGTATGGTGGTCAGCTTTTCTTTATTTTACATACTGTTTTATTCCACGGGGGGTTTAGAGAACCACTGTTGCATCAGGCCCTGTACTATGTACAATTTGGGGCAATGACTTTGAGCTGGTTCCAGCTGGAGTTGTGGTGTACAGAAGGGTCAGGGAGGTTGATGTCTAATGAATGGATGGTGGGTCATGTGCCACTTTCCTAGAAGTTAGAGGCCCTTGGAGAAGAAGGAGTGCCCAGTTGGTCCAGTCAGCCCAGCCCTAGCTGGACTGATGGAGGCAGCTGGGGGACCAATGGAAGCACCTTCAGAGGAGAGTGCCCTGGAGGGAGTCTTGGGATAGGAGAACAAGCCAACAGGAAAAGTTGGTAGTTTTGGGGTGTGAGAGCTGCCCTGGGAAACCAGAAAGACTGTCCTCTAAAAGACAGTTGCTAATTGTTTTCTTTTCCCTTGGAGGGGAACAAAAGTGTAGTAGATCCAGAGAAACATACTGCAGCTCGGAGTAAGAAAGATCCAATTCCAAGATGTCCAGCAGTTAGGTCCCTTTGATGGAGGTGTCAAGCACACCACCACGACATTGCCAGGAGATTCAAGTGTCAGATGGTAGGCTAATCCTTCTGGCCCTGACAGTGTATTATGCTTCTCTGCTTCAAGAGTCCACACCTCGTTTACTGTCCTGTGATCTTGCTTAATGAGTACTAAGTTATTTTATCTCTCCTGAAAGATTGTGAGCTTTCTGATAAAAGGTGTGATGAACTATACTAGATAAAGGATAGTATTTATACTAGATGAGAGTTATCAGGGAAGTCTCTAAGGAGATAACAATTAAGGTGAGATTTAGCAGTTCATTAGATACCAGTCATGTAAAGAGCTGGAGTGAGATGACCTAGTCAGAGAGGACAGCATAGCTCCAGTGCAGAAAAGAGTGGTGAGTTTGAGGAACAGGAGGGAGCCCAATGTGGCTACAGCAAGATGATCAAGAAAAAGACAGAAGGAGATTAGAAGAGGGAAATCATCAGGGGCAGGTCACATTAGCCCTTATAGTTCATAGTATGGATTTTGGCCTTTATTAATGCATTGGAAAGTTCTTAAATGAGTGCAAGCAAAGACCCAGTTAATTCTTTAAATGATCCTTCTGGCTGCTCTTCAAGAAAGGATTGTAAAAGAGGAAGTAGATCAGGTAAGAGGCTATGGCAGCAATCCAGGTGAGAGGTGAACCCAGGTAGTTTAACTGGGTTGTGGGGGCAGTGAAGATAGACAGAAATAGTGACTTTGATGTGTATTTTGGAGGTAGAACCATAAGGACTTGCTGATGGACTGGATATGGGATATGAAGGAAAGGGAAGAATCAAGGCTAATACCTAGATTTTTGGCCTGAGAAACTATGTGGATGCGGGAGTCCCTTTTAGAATATGTCCAGCCTACTTAATTAGGAAGGAATGAGATACAAAACTGGAAAAGAAGAGGTAAAATTATCATTATTTATTTACGATATGACAGCTTACCTGGAAAACCCAAGAACATCAACTAAAAAACTAATACAAAAGTGGCATTTTAGCAAGGTAGATACAGAGTAATATACAAAAAACCAGTGAACAACAGCCAATTAGAAAGTATAGGGAAATAAAGTGTATCATTTACAATAGCAACAACAAAGTAAACTAACCAAGAGTAATCTTAACAATGAATGTGCTAGATCTAGGTTCCCAAAACTAAAATGCTATTGAAGGATACAAAGGGGGCTTGAATAAATGGAAAGGCATACTTTATTTTTGGGTAGAAAGGCTCACTGTCATAAAGATGCCAGTTCTCGATAAATTAATCTATAAAATAACACAGTCTAATAAGAATACCAACAGACTACATAACCTGAATATAATAAAGCTCATATGGAAAGTGTTGCATCAAGAATAGCCATGAGCCATGAACATTGTGAAAAAGATGAGGGGAATAGCTCTATAAGATATTAAACCCTAAAAGCTATAATAATTAAAATAGTAAAATACAGGGGACACTAGCACATGCATAGGCAATTTGATCAAGAGAATCAAATAGTCCAGAAATAGACCCAAGACATTTAAAATGTAGTATATGATTAAGATGGCATTGTCTATCAGTAGGGAAAAGATAGATTATACAATAAGTGGTTTTGAGATGATTGTGCAGCCACATGAAAAAAGAATGTGGTATCTCTACTTTAGTCCTTACACAAAAATCCATATGAATCAATTGTGTTAAATAAATCTAAAAGAGTAAAACCATAAATTTATAATATTATGGCAGAAAATAGTATTTTTCAGAATAGCACAAAATTTCCCAAAGCATAAAAAAGACAAATTCTGTCAACATAAAAATCTATAATTTCTGCAGAACAAAAAATACCATAAACAAAACCAAATAGCAAACTGGGGGAAATATTTGCAACTCATATCATAAACAAAGGGACTAATTTGCTTAATATATACAAAATCTCTTTAAATCAATATGAAAAAGAACAAAAATCCAATTAAAACAAATGGGATGGTTAACATAAAAGGAAAGATTAATGGCTCTTAGACATATGAAAAACATACTCAACCTCACTCACAAGAAAATTGAAACTACATTTAAAAATCATTTTTAACCTATAGATAGGCAAAAAATCCAAATACTTGACAATATACTTTCAGCATGGTTGTGAGGAAATAGGCCGACTTGTAAATTACTGACAGAACTATAAATTATGAGTACTTGTCAAAATTACAAATGCAGATTTCTGACCCAATATACTTGCATACATGCAAAATAAAGTATATATAAAGTCATCAACTATGGTATTGTTTATAATAGCAGAAGTTTACATGCAACTCAAATATCTATCAGTAGAAGATTAGTTAAATAAATTATGGTCCATCCATACAATGAAATATCATACAACCAGGCTGAAGAGCTGTCATAAAAATCTTTATAGACCATGATTAAATTCATGCAGAGCCCTTAAAGAGTTTTTAAGCAGAACTGTGGTATGAGATCTGGATTTTAGAAACATCTCTCTGGTCTACTGGGGAGCATAGATTGAAAGAGTGAAACTAGAGACTGAATCAGGCAGTGGCCTAAATTAGGGTATCCCTAAGGGGAAGACACATAAGATGTAGACTGGATAGGGCTTGGTGATAGGTTGGGTGCAAGAAAAGAGGCACTGATGATAACCTGCTTTCTGGCTTTCATAGTAGATGCAGAGTGATCTTATGCATTGAGATAGGGAACACAGGTGGAGAAGCTGGCGTGGACAAGGAGGAAAGATGATTTTTGTCTGGATGAATTGGGTTGGAGATGCCAGAGGGCAACCTATTGATGTTCAGTTGGGTGGTTAGCTCTACAGCTCCATGACTCAGGAGAGATATTGGAATTTAGGGTAAATTGGGAAATCATCAATATAGAGCTGCTGTTCAAAGCCATGGGGGAGGGGGAAGTCATCTTGGGATATTCTGTGACATAAAAAGGGTTCAGGCACTGGAGCAACCCCTAGAGTAGCAGGCAGAAGAAAATGAGCTCCTATAGGAGTCAAAGGAGCAGGGGAAACATCTGAGGGAAACCGACTATCACATAACAGCAGTCAAGGAAAGAGTGGCAGTGTTTTAGTGGTGTTTGTCTCTCATTTGGTTATTATATCCTTGAGAACATAAACGGGTTTTATTTTTCTTCGTTTTCTCCCTGTCTGTTCTATCCCTACCTTCAACCAATATGTTTTACACATATTATGTCTGAACAAATTAGGGCGTGAATGAGTAAATCCAATCAAAGATGGTTCTTTACAGTATTTTGTTTCTAATATTTATTACTGCTCCTCTAATTGGTCTGTATCCGTTCTCTAAAGTCTCCACATTACCACAGCTGCCTCTCAAAGCCCAGATCTTGTACCACCCCGCCAATCATCAGTGGGCTCTCCACTGCCTAAGAGGAAAGTCTCCAGCTTGGCTTTCGAGCACATCCAAACCCAGGCTCAGCCCAGCTTAGCTTCTACCACACCTGGCTTCCACCCATTGAAGTATTGCCCCACTGACCACTTTCTGGGCCATACACATGGTCTGTGTTTACAGTGTTCTCTTCCCTTGGATTTCCCCAAGTTCCCCCGACCCCTGCCACTGGTGGTAGTTCTACCCATCCTTAAACATTCTACTGAAATCCTGCTTAACTATTTACAATAGCCAAGATATGGAAGCAACCTAAATGTCCATCAGTAGATGAATGG